AGAAACCAGACATAAATTGCAGAGGGCTGCAACCCCTCAAAACAAAGGAGCTTCACAATGCTTTCAGATACATTGGCTCAGCTGTCAAGATGGAGCATTATAGGATCACAAGGCTGCATGTGGAGGCTCCCTTTTGTTAAACTGCTTTATACTGTTTCATACAATAAGCTGCTTTATTGTCTGTGGACTCCCTTCGGAGCAGCCCCTTGGCTTGAGTCCAAATATAAACTATTTTTTTTTCTGGGTTTTGATATGTTTTGCTAAAACTTAATAAAGATTTTATTAAAAATGAAAAAAAGAAAGTTCATGGAAAGTTCACCATTTACTCCATTTTCTCCCGAGATGAAATCCATAACAGTGTTTGGGGCACAACTGGGGGTTTATATTTATTCCATATTTTCAATAAGGTATGTGGGAATGATTTCTGAAATCCACATTAACTTTCATTTTATTGCACCATAAATATCCATGCCATCTGAATCTAATATTGTGACCTTCTAATTCTAAAAGTCCCATTTCTCAGCAACATCCGTTATTTCATCCAGGCCCAAACAACAAGCAGCAAAATACAATTTCAAATCTGATAAATACAATCTTCCTTTTTTCCATGCGTCTTTTAACACTTTGTATTTAACTTGTGTTTTTCCCATTCGTCTATAAATTTAGATATATCTTTTTGCCATTGTTTAAGTGATACATCAGTTATTAAAACAGGTATTATCTGAAACAAAAACATTGTTGGCAAAAGATTAATTTTTATCGCAAATATTCTCCCCAACACTGTTTTAATTTCTTCCACCTTAATATTTCTGTCTTAATTTCATCCCATGGCTAACCATAATTATTTGGAAATATTATACAATTCATGTTTATTATAGTAATATCCAGGAATTACTTTGGCTGTCTTTCCCATCTTCCCATCTTTATTTACAGGATGAATCTGTTCTCCAAAATTAAAAGATATAGTGTGGGGGGGAGAAAAGAGACAAAAATGAGCTGGTTTTTATTTTCTGCAGGACTATCTCAAAAACGTATTATTATTACTATTTTGATTATTTTGTGTTTTGTGCCATTAACTAACTTGAGTTTTTTCACATGAGAAAAGTGGGATCTTTAATGATATATTTTCAATATTTGTAAACATATTAAGTGTTCTTTTTATTCCTTGTGAATAGAGGAAAATGTTTCAGTTTTTTTTTTAAAAGTATTTGCAGTTGGGATATGGAACAAATAATATTTGTTTGATCAGACAAATGATCCATCTTTCATTTGATTAACAATAAAATCTTGTGGAGCAACATAACCCAATTCCCATGTGAGAAATCTGATAATTATCTTCATTGTGTCCCTTGTTTGAAGAAAACATCAAGTCATTAGCTAGGAAGATGGGTGGATCAGCTCATTTAAACAGAGAGATCTGCACCTGTGTCTAAAACCAAAACCAATTTCAAATACAAGTTCAGTCAACATTTGTCAGACTTCCTTCCGTCTTTCAAGCAACAATAGAACTGCCATAGTCATGCAGTGTGGCAGTACTTTTAATAATAACACAATGAAAGAGAATAAATTGTAACACTTCATTAGCATATTTTCTATTGTGCCCATTCTTCTAGTTCCTGCTGAATCAAGCCCATTTATCTAATCTTCTATATCAACAGTGCACAATTAGAAGTTTTCAAGGTTTCATGCGCCCTCCTCCCCCAAGTCCTGGCTACCTCTTTAAGAGACTTGACCTAATTGATATTTTGAATGTGTCTAAAGGGGAAATTAAAAATACTAGGCTAGATTATAAACAGGCTAAGTATAGTTAAGTTTAATTTAATGACAACTGAAAAAGATTCAAATGGAGCATTTGTTCTGCCTCCAAACATTCATTTTGGGATGGAGTCCACAATACACCACTCAGTGTATGGTTGATCCAAGATCCTGGTAAACTGAGGGTAAAACTTCTTAATTTAAACTGGAGGAATCTCTCATTAGGATATAATCAGCAATTCCTGGGTTTTTTTCCACAGTGTACAAAAAAGGCTACCATACTATGTGGATGAAGGGGGGGGGGGGAGAGGCTTCTTCCCTTTATCATATTTTGTCAATCAACAACTTGTTTGTGTATCTTTTCTGCTTTCCTCAGAACAAAGTGTCTATGAAAAAAATGTGGTTAAGATTACAAGCACAAGTAAATTGTCAATAAAATAAAGTAAAATAAGTAAATAAACAATACAAGTAAATTGAAAACTGCTTGCCAATTGCAACAATACAGAGGTTGCAGCATTGAAATGACTGGTTTCCTGTTTTCTAATCACAGCAAGCTCTCTTGCTTGTTGTAATTGTTTTTCCTATTAACATTCACACTCAAACACATTCCCATCTGATGGATTTTACATAACAAGAATCTAAATATGCAGGCAATTTTTAATTTGCCACATGATTACTAGAATGAAAGAAATGCTTTTTATCAATACACCTACATTATGCCTAGCATATTAGATGTTTTTATCTTGGCTGTTCACCGCCCTGAGTCCGAAAGGAGAAGGGCGGTATAGAAATTTGAATAATAAATAATAAATAATAAATATTGCATATGAGATAAGTTCTTTGTGATTTGTGATCTAAAATCCAAATTTTGGTCTAGGAGAAAAGAATATTTGACTATATTTAGTTGTCATGAAGACTTGGATTGAAGGAAAACTTTAACATCAATTCTCAGCGATTATGATATAAAAAGGGACTGCAGGTTTTCTACCTCTGTATGATAAAATCTTTATAAAAGTAGTAGTGTGGACTACAGTGAAGTCCAAGCAGTGCAGTTTTTGAATGAGTTGAATAAGCACTAAAAGAGGATGAGCTGCTGTTTTGTTTCTTGCCTCCCTTAGAGAAAAGATGTGAAAACAAGGAAATGGACAGACAAATCTAGGAAGAGCAGCAGGGCCACAATAAAAGTGTTAGCAGAGATACTTGACTTGGCAGGTATCTGACAATAGTAGTTCCAACACTGTGGCAGAATATGTACATGTTTTTGAGGGAGACGATTTAAAGAGGCAGACCACACAGCCTTTCAGTTTTCTTTTTCTTTTCTTATTTACAGATTCTGTAGTAGAGTGTGGTCTATTTGTTCCTTCAAGGCAAACAGTACATTTTTGTCTCTCAAAGAAGCACTTAACATTTCCCAAATAAAGCCACACATGTCCTTTCTAGTTACCCAAAGGATCCAGTTGGTCCAAGATCCAGACCATGGATTCTGGATTCTACAGAGTTTCACTGTTTCAAAGTTCATGACTGCAAGTAAAATCCAGATGACTTTGTAAGACGTCAGCAAAATCTGTCCAGGTGGAATCCAAACCCAAGCAACATGAGTGATTTTATTGGTGGAATGTTTGGCAAATATGTCTGTTGACAGGTCTTCCTGCCCTTCCTTATCTACCAGGGCATGAGCCATCTTAAACAGAGCCACTGTCAGACACAATTGGACAGGGAAACCTTTACCTCTTTTTTTTTTAACTTTATAATTGCTTGTGAAATTTCTCCTCAGATTTTAGAAATGGGAGAAACTTCATACCTTGGATTTCTCTGAGGAAAAATGTTAGTACTGTAATAAGGATCCTAACACAATTTTCAAATGAGTCAAAGATAATCACAAGGTTGCATATCTGACTTGACTTTTAAGTCTTTTAAGATAAGCATCAGATCCTGTGGCCATCCATATGTTATTGAATTATAACTTACCTCACTGTTTTAGCCATTGGTAAGGCATGCATGCAATTCAGTAACTACTGGAAAGATTTGTGTTGCCCATCTGGTAGTGGCTTAGAATGATCAGTCATCAGATATTTCAGATGATCCAATGTTAAAGAGCGATGTGGAATCAATTTTAGTTTTGTACTAAACTTGAGAAATCTTAAGTTTCTAAGTGACTAAACAACAAATCTTAAGAAAAATACAGGATTGCTTTCAATCGTAAAGTAGAAGGAAAGGAAAGGAAAGGGGGAAGGGAGAAGGGGGAAGGAGAGAGGGGAGGAGAGAAGGGGGGAGGGAAAGGACAGGAAAGAAGGAAAGGAAAGGAAAGGAAAGGAAAGGAAAGGAAAGGAAAGGAAAAGGAAAGGAAAGGAAAGGAAAGGAAGGAAAGGAAAGAAAGGAAAGGAAAGGAAAGGAAAGGAAAGGAAAGGAAAGGAAAGGAATCAAATGTTGGTTCCAATTCTCTTACATTGGTGGCTGGCTGCTTCTTAAACCAGCTTACAAAATCACCATCTTCATAATATTTTTTTAAAAAAAGAGTTTTAAGAGTTCTGTCTTTTTTTTCTTATTAGCACTTGATTGTCTGCACTGAACAGCTGGAGTACTGATTATTTTTATTTTAAATATATCTAAAAAAGTTCTTTTTATTTGTTTCATTATTTTCATATGTCCATCCATCTTGCTATAGCAAGTAGCATACAAATAAAAAACCAACTTTGTTCTTACATTTTTTTTGTCAAAATTACACCTTACACATTCACTTTTCTCTACAGACTCTCTTCCTTGGTGATCTCTCCCTTTTTCTATTTCCTGTTTGTGTCCTTCCTATTCTTTGAAACTTCACTAAGCAGTTTTATGCAGACATAGTGGTTTCTGTTGCTGCTGTCTTTGAGGGGGTTTTCCCTCAAAGGAATCATTTGTAATTGTGCTTTGTTTTAGAATCGCTCAACCACCTTTAAGCTCACTTCCCCATCAGTGTCTCGAGCTTTGGAATCTTACTTAGCATTTCTCTGAATTTGTTAAACTCTGTTTGCTTTGAAGTTCACAGCATGTGTTTGATTTCACGCAACTCCACATTTCCTTAAAATCAAGAACGTTGGCCTTATTATTTTCCACCAATGCTGGAAGCCAAGGGGTGTAACTAAGACAGGGAACAGTTGCTGGGCAACTGGGTAACAGCTTCTAGGGCAGGGTCCAGAGGGAGAGAGAGGTAGGAGCATTATCCTCTCAGTTGCAATATCCATTTAACCTTCCACTAACCACTTCTGAGCTCTTGTGGGCCATTAGGTTTTTTAGTCCTCTGTTCTGCTGTTTGGAGAGATATCAAGTCACTTTGGTACTGAAAATTACTGTAATTTTCCCAGGAATTTACTATATCAAACAGGTATGGTGGTGCTGTTGTCTTCGACAAACCCATTAGACCAGCATAGCTGTTAAGTGACAGCTTAAGTGAATTAAGTGACACAGAACTTTTGGCTGGGCAGCCATGTGATAGACAATTCCCAGGACAAGCTCTGCTTTCCATGGAGCCTAGGGCAAAGGCCAAAAAAGCAGGACAGAGGATTGGACAACTCATCTCAGAGAAGACCTTGGGTCTGAGTAAATATTAAATCTCACCGGTGTTTACACATGGCTTTGTGTGTGCCTCATTTTGGATGAGCCTGTGTCAGGTGAACAATACCAGAGAAGGCTTCAAATAAGGTAAGACCATAATTTTAGGTTTACACCAGTGGGGAGGGAGGTTGTATGTGAGTGTGGATATGAGTGGGTATTTATGTGTAACAATAGGAAGGAAGGAAGGAAGGAAGGAAGGAAGGAAGGAAGGAAGGAAGGAAGGAAGGAAGGAAGGAAGGGGAAAAAAAGATTAACTGTTACTTGTTGCTAGGAATTAGTAATTATGGAAAGCCCAAATTATTTTCTTTTACATATTTTGTTATGATTCTACCAAAAAGAAAATACTCTGCATTTTTGTGCATTACTGTGCATTAATTGGAAAAGCAAACTATTGGTCTGCGAGCCGGACTACAGAGGCTATAAAGGTGGGAAGTAAACTGTGTAAGCAAGGGGGTGGAGGACAGAGCAAGCGGGAATCCTGTTTCCCTAGGCCGTTCGCAGAGGGAGAACATTGCTGAGGCAATTTGGGGAGGAACCGGGAGGGGGTGTGGGGCTCATGGGTCTCAGGATGCCAGCTTTTCTCTCCAGATAATTACTGTCTTATTTAATAAAACCTGATGAGGGAAGGAAGAGGCCCTCAACATTGTTGAGAAGAGGAAGGCTGAGATACGTTCAAATTTTGAAGGGAACCGATGAGGAAAGCTCCTAAAGATGGGTGCATAAACAACCATGGCATTAATAACATAGAAGAACATGAGGAGCTACCAAATATTGGGCCAGAGTATTCATTTATCTAGGCTAGTATTGACCTTTCTGATTGGCAACTGAGATGTCAGCGGAAATCTCTCCCAAACTGGTTTTTGGCAGGGTATAAGTGGATGAATGACTGAATGTACAGTAGATGCTTGTGCATCTCTATATGATGAGATAGTGAGCAGAAGACTCTTTCCTGCCTTAATTCTGGAGATGAGATGGTCGGGAAACTCTGTGGCTTCAATTTTTGGATCATGAGAATGTCTTTACTGAGCCTAACATTTTAGATTTTGTTAGGGAACGCAACTAAGGTAAAGAGAAATCTTGAAGCCCAACTATACTTCTGGAATCACCAATACTGGCCAAACCATATGGCAGTAACTTATCCCAAGATCAGTGTTAATTGCCCAGAATAGTGCTCTTGCTGCTTTTGAAGAATGGATACAGCCTCATCTCGAGAAGCTTTCCCCAACTTGATGCCCTCCACATGTTGAGATTACAATTTGCAGCATCAGCTGTATTGATTGGGAATTCTGGAAGTTGTAGTCTTTGGAATGTAGCAGATTTGGACTAGTTTTATACTGTTCACATTTTTGTTCAGTTGCTTTTTTCACAATGGGACTACGATGTAAACTTTCTGTGACAGGAAATGGCACAAAAGGAGGGCACATAATAAATATTTCTAGAGGACGACTTAATCTCTTTCTCTTTTTCACACACACTCCATAGTAAAAGGAAAACAAAGGAAGGGATAAGTCTGTTTAATTTATTTCAGGTCAAGTATAAGCATTGACCTGATATATACAGGGGGTCACAATTGAGCCCAAAATTTCTGTTGCTAAGTGAGACATTTGTTAAGTGAGTTTTACAACCTTTCTTACCGTAGTTATTAAGTGAATCACTGCAGGTATTATGTTAATCACATGGTTGTTAAGTGAATCTGGCTTTCCCATTGACGTTGTCAGAAAGTTGCAAAAGGTGATTACATGACCCGGGGCACTGCAATCATCGTAAATGTGAGTCAATTGTCAAGCATCTGAATGTAAATCATGTGACCATGAGGATGCTTCAATGGTCATAAGTGTGAAAAATGGTCCTAAGTCATTTTTTTCAGTGCTAGTGTAACTTTGAACGGTCACTAAAGGAACTGTTGTAAGTCGAGGACTACCTGTATTTATGGTAAATTTATGCAATCACTTTGATTAGGAATATATCCCTCCAAGACATTGTCATAATGTAGTGAGCTTTTTTGTGAAATCTGTTCTCCTTACTGTGCTGATATTGAGTTCCATGCCTTGATACTTAATTTCTTATCCTATCGTCAACATGTATATAATCAAATGACCAAAAAACTATGCAAAGGAACAGCTTATATGCTGACATATGATCTGATCCAATGTACACTTAATTAAAAGATGTCCGTATGTTTAATGTGGCTTATTCTCAGATAAATTTACAATGAATTTCAGCCTTTCAGTATTGAATTTCAGTAGGTCACTCCAGGGGGAAGCAGTTAAGATATTGGTCTGGGTATTTATGGTGCTTGTTTTGATCCTTGAAGTAGCCTGCAGCCTTCAGATGTAGCATCAGATGCTAGCATATATCTAGTACTGAAATAAAATTCAGTGACATGCCAGTTAGCTGCTGTTTACTGAATTGAGAAAGACAGCAACTTGTCTCCCCTTACTCTTTTTATTCCTTGTGGACTCAATGTAGCCCTAAGTGCAAGAAAGTAATACTTCAACGTTCTCAAATTTGTGCTTGCTTCTATTTTTCTTTATCTATAAATGTGCCCCAGAAGTATTTAGGTGGAAATCTAACATATTTGGACACCTTAAATATAAATTGTGGATCCTAAATCTTGCTTTGCTGTTTGGTAAGGTAACCATGACTGAAGGAGAAGAACAGGAGGAGGATCCAGTGGAATTACCACCACGAAACAGAGAGAAGAATAAAGTGATTATTTGCCAACGCTGCATCCCAGTTTTGATAGTCTTGGTGCTGTTGGGTGGAGCTGGAGCAATAACTTGGTATTTCTTAGGTAACAAATGCAATCATTCTTTGTATTCCTGATTCCAGTATTGGGGGTCAAGGAGAGAAAGTGCTCAGGGAAAGCATTCAGGGGTGAAATCTACTTACCTTTCCTACCGGTTCGGAAGTGCACACTCCATGCACGTGCGCTCGCTTCGCTTGCTTCACGTGCATGCTTGGTCCCTCTGCACATGCACAAACCCTTCTGCGCATGCGCAGAGGGTAAAAAACAGGTTACTTCCTGGTTAAAACCAGGAAGTAATGATGACCAGGTGGCTGGGTGGAGCCTCACACAGCTGCCGCTACCGGTTCTCCGAAGCACCCACCGCCATCGCTACCGGTTTAGCCGAACTGGTCTGAATGGGTAGCGTTTCACCCCTGAAAGCATTACAGGGAGAGGAGTCAGTATAGCTGCATGTGACCTGTGTCATGCCCATGTCCAGTGACTATTCACCTATGGCAGGGGTGTCAAATTTGCAGCCCGTGGGCCAGATTCATCACGTGCTGGCCATGCCCATCCCCAGTTTAGCAAAGGGGGGGAAGTCGCAATATGTGACATGACAATGATGTGATAAGGAGCAAGTTCAAATCTCACCAGGCTCAAGGTTGACTCAGCCTTCCATCCTTCCAAGGTAGGTAAAATGAGGACCCGGATTGTGGGGGCAATAAGCTGACTTTGTATAAAAAGAACACCCCTTAGTGGGGGGGTGGAAGCCCTACTAAGCAGGTATTTACAAAAAAGTATGAAGGCTATTGCTTAACGCATTGTAAGCCACCCTGAGTCTCCGGAGAAGGGCGGCATATAAATCGAACCAACAAATAAATAAATAAATAAACAAACAAACAAACAAACAAACAAATAAATAAATAAATAAATAAATAATGCGAGTTTGACACCCCTGACCTATGATCAAGATGTATCCCACATAAAGTACAGAGATTATTTTGCCATAATGTGTTATTATGTGTGTGTGTGTGTGTGTGTAGATTTTATTTTCGATTTAAGTCCAATACAGTTGATCTTGCATTTTCTAAAATTGCCAGGTACTACACTTCAAGCGAAGAATTATTACACTACAAACATAACAAGATTTCTGCCAGATTAGTAGTTACTTTAGGCCTATGATCTAATGGCAATGTTTATAACCTTCCATTGCTTAGAAATAATTAGCATCTGTATCTCTTTGTGGCAGACTACAGACCGCGGTATTTGGATTCTGCTCATCTGCATTTCTACTCTGGCAGCTTGAGGATCATCAATCGGCAGTATTCCCAGGATCATGGCAGAATGGAATCCAGAGCTTTCTGGACAGAGAGATCAAAGATACAGAAGATGGTGGGATTTCATGAGTAAAATAGCATATTCAACTAGGTAGTTTAATGGATATGAGCATAAACCTCGACAGCTTTTTTACTGGATCTGCCCTGGTAGTTTTGCATGTTGTATAACATGCAAAATTAAATATGTCCATATTCTCTCTCCAATTATCATTTTCATCTACCCATATATTGCTAATGTGTTTTGTACCTGGTTGTGGATAAAAATAATTGGAACAGGAATAATTTAAATATATGGTGATCTTCATTAAAGCTAGATGATTTAATTTCATGCACTAAATGAGAGGTGACATGTATTGTTAAGGGGAACATACTGGTATCTCAGCTTGACATGATTTAACAATCTCCTTTACAGTTAAAAGACCTAATTCATGCCACTAACCTGGCCTCTTTCTACAACTCCAGTGCTGTCTATGCCTTTGGGTGAGTGAAGCATTATTAGTTTTTTGAGAAATCATAGAACATGGATGGTCAGAAGTAGAACCTGATCTAACTTGCTTATAGATTCTCTGGTGTGCATTTATGCACCCTGGTTTTAGAGTTTGAATTGACTTACTGCTCATAATAATAGGATATTTGTGAGCTTACACTTGCATATATAAATTATTCTGGTTTGTGTTTCATGGGATGCAGGAGAGTATTATTTCCACCCAAAGGAATCTCTTCTATCTCATCTGAATTATACTTTTGCATCTGGCCTTTTAATGGTGAATTTTCTAACAACCCCCCCCCCTAAAAAAAACCCTCAGTGGGTCTTGCTAGTCTGACACCTGCCTATATCTGCCTTAGATGTTGCAATATAAACATTAAACAATTTTGGATATATTTTGTTTGTGGATTATGGATAATTGGATTATCTCTTGCGATGATTGGAAATGTTCTAGCTTCTTAACTTATCATAATTTAATGATGTTTCTAGAAAACTAGAAAAGAGGTGGTAAATGTGAAAATTGTTTTTCTAATAGAGAAGGGTCTTTGACATGCTTCTTCTGGCTCGCCCTTCAAGTCCCAAAAGATCGGCATGTGGAGGTGACAGTGGAAGAAATAAAAGACACACTCTATAATGAACTTCTTATCAGCTTCAACAGAACAGGTTACCTGTCTTATCAGAATGAATACAAAATTGATCCAGAATCTTTAATTTTATTGGGTAGGTACTAACTATATATCTTCCCTTCCCTTAATATTCCCTTAATAGTTCCAAGAAAGCAGCTTCCACATTTGAAATTCAGATTGATGCTGGGGGGGGAGGGGAGTGCCAACTGCCTGCAATTCGTGCAAGTTCGAATCTCACCAGGCTCAAGGTTGACTCAACCTTCCATCCTTTCGAGTTAGGTAAATTGAGGACCCGGATTGTGGGGGCAATAAGCCAACTTTGTATAGAACAACACCGCTTGGGGGGGGGTGAAAGCCCTAATAAGCAGGTATATACAAAAAAGTATGCAGACTATTGCTATAATGCATTGTAAGCCGCCCTGAGTCTACGGAGAAGGGCAGCATATAAATTGGACAAATAAATAAATAATAAATGAAGTCATGTAGGTTGGAATTAATTAAGAGCAATTAATCTTATAGAACATGTCTTCTCTAGAATAAATCACATTGAAAAATTATTTTCAAACCAAAATAATTGTTACTAGATGCTAGATTTCACATGCTAAAAGGTATACATAGGAGCCTGATCCAACCAAACATCCCATTGGAGACAGTAGAGAAATCTTCTATGTATTTTATATTTATATGGTGGTCTGATTATTTGAACATTTTGGCCCTTTTTAGCCATTGGAATAAGTGAGAAAGCATTACAGGTTTCCCTTCTTTTATAACAAGGGTTATCGCTTTGAAAATGCATCATTTCCAATTCTTTGAATTTCCTTATATGAATCCTGCATGGCATCATCAAATGAGTAGCATTGTTGCTTTCTACTAGTACTGTCTGAAGCTGAAGAGAGCTGGATCTAGATCTAGGGCCGTGATGGTGAACCTATGGCACACGGAGCCGTATCTGTGGGCACATGAGCATTGCTCTAGGTCAGCTCCAGCATGCATGCGCGCACTGGCAGCTGATTTTTGGGCCTTCTGGGACCACCAGAAGTCAGGAAATTGGCTGTTTCCAGCCTCCAGAGGGCCTCTAGGGGTTGGGGAAGGCTGTTTTTGCCTTCCCCAGGCTCCAAAAAAGCCTCTAGAGCCTAGGGAGGGTGAAAAATGGGCCTACCAGGCCCACTGATAACCTTTTTGCCATTGTGTGCCAAAAGTGGGGGAAGCACGGGGGGGTCACCCGCACATGCACAGGGAGGTGGGGAGTGGGGGCATTGAATTATGGGTGTGGGCACACACACGCGTGACCCCCCTGCACTCCCCCCGCTTTTGGCACACAACGGCGAAAAGGTTAACCATCACTGATCTAGGGTCTAGGCCTTTTCAATTTGTTTGTATTAATTCAAAAAATAAGTAGAAATTTTGCAAAAGAGAAGAGAATTTGAGAAACTCAAGGATGGTTTGTGGGACAATAAATTGGTTAGAGTGCTACATTGATAATGGAGGTATCTTTTCATTCAGGAAGTGACGATAAGATCTTTATCACTTGTGAGGTGCAAAGACTCTTGCTTTTTACCTAAAGAGCAGCTAAAAACCTTTATATTTCAGATATTAACCCCTCTGTACAAATTAGAGTTGGACACCAATAGCTTCACAAGAGCCTATGCTATCTTTACAACCCACGTAATCGGTGGATCTTTTTTTCAGAATGTCTTCAGACGAAGAAACAATTATCCAATAATGTTGTAGAGAAAGAACTCCCCCTTAATAATAATAGTCAATGGAAGTGTTATTTACCTCACTTTCTTTAGACTGAATTGCAGCATGAAAAGCCCAGGAGAAATGATTGCACACTGAAAGTCGAGGTACTTGCTTGCACAAGCCTGTGGCCATTTCACAACTGAGTAGAACCTCAAACTCTGAGTGGGCATTTCTACAGCACTCTCATCTCCCTTGCTGCTTTACATACCGAAAGAAGTTGTACAGCAAGAGTTGAAAGAGAGGGTCATTAAAAATGAGGCACTTGATCTCCATGCTGGACTTCCCAGATGACCTGCACTGTTGCCTTTTTTACTCAGAACTAGAGAGTTGGTCCTTATCTCCAGATCTGCTTTCAATGTTCGTCACAGATTTATTTTGCAAGGAGGCTTGTGCAAGGCTGACGATTGCATTAAAGTAACTCTATTATTCCTCTAACCACTTTTTATACCAACACAGAAATCTAGCAGCATTATATCTCAAAGCTCAGATAAAGTGCACAAATGGTTAACCTTTCTAGAATGTTATAGCTGTGGTGCATTTTTTTCTCCCTTTTTATTCATGCTAAGCAACCAGGGACCTCCTTAATTGCCTTTTGCCTGGTTTCCCTTGTCAAAATAGCTGATATTAAAGACTAACAGAAAATATTTTTTACTTGACTTACCTAAACCATTTTCTTTCTATTTTTTCCACCCTCTTGATTCAGTGTTGCATACTCTCAAGTTCTACAGATAGGTTTTGCATCCTACATTGATTTATCAATGCATTCGATAAATGTGTTTATCAATACATTTCTTAGGGAGTGTCAGGATGCTCTTTCAATACATCCTTCAATTCTCCTTTCCTCCCCCTCCCTCCAAAAAATGGAATTTGGTAGCATTAATTACAACTTGTAATGGTTTCAGCTTTACCCACTTTTATTCTCTGACACTGCCTCCCCAGGCACTCTACGGCTGGTTAGCATGCCTGGCAGAGATTTTGTATTTAAATTGGGAGAGGAGGGGAGCAGAATTTAATTCAGAAGTGAATGCTTCCATATTTTAACAGGCAGTGCTTCCCATATATTGTTTCAGCATTACAGTATAAATCACAGGATTGCTGGAAATTCATGAAAATACGTATCTTAAGTCAAAATCTGTACGTTGGACAGAAAGGCTTCAGAAATGAATTGGGGATATGATCAAAAAGCACCAAAGGTTTCCCAGGTTATTAGAAGGAAAAAAGAAAAGAAAAGAATGTTTTAATAAGGGTAGGGGAAAAGCTCATGGAAAGGGAAATAAGGAGTAAACAACATATGGAACATTTTATAAGGCAATAGTGCTAAAATCTTTGGAGTCATATAATTAGCTCTGGCTGTGGCTATTCAGGCTTGCAGAAATAACCTACCTTGAGATGTACCAGTATTGTGATGGGTCAATATGACTGCTTCAGTGCTGGGTTCCAACCGGTGTTACCACCGGTTCTCTTCGTGCACACGCTTTGCATGTGATTGCAAGCGCATTACATTTCTGGCCAGCTGAGGCGCAGCAATCCACTCTGCCATGCCTATCAGCTGGACTAAAAAAACACAAATAAAGGTAGGTATAATGCGGGGGTGGGCAGGAGGGTGGGCAGCTCCCAGTCAAAGAGAACCGGTTTGGTGATGTCACATCATCACCACTACTGGCTCGCCCGAACCGGGCTGAACCGGGATCAACCTACCACTGGACTGCTTGCTTTATTCCCATAAACTCAGCAGTAGATACTGGCCAACACCAAGGTGGCTAAATCACTGGCCACAAGTTGCATGACCGGCATGCTGCTAATGGGCCTGTCACTAATCTTGGGGAAACAGACAGTTCAGATAATAGTAGATATAGAGTCTGGCAACATTGAATCCTTGATGGCCTTTATCAATGGAAGAATTACCTTTGACTTGCCAGTAATTTTTCCCAAAGTTTCTCAGAAACCCCCAACAAGCTGTGGTCTTTTTGGATCATGTCTTTACCAGTCACCAGATATTCTACAAGGGACAACTGCAATGTGGATATGTCCTTTGTATCAATATGCCACTTCTGCAATTTCAACAATGCCGTAAGTAATATAATTATAATCATTTTCAAACCGTATGGCATGTTTTCAAGTGGTGCAGCATTTTCATCCCCAGGTTGGGTTTGCATAGCTCATGGATTCCACGTGTTTTGTGGTGGAGAGTACCTTTGGAATATTTGCATGTGTTGTTGTGAAATTCATTTCAATTTGATCCCTTTAATTTTCATGGCCATCCACTCATTTCAATATTAAAAACAACTTAAAAATCAATAATAAAAAATACAACAAACCAATATAAATATATGTGGTTATTATGAAGATTTCCTCATTCACAAAATGACTGTCGTACTAAACCAACTTGTTAAAAGCACTGATTTACTCACATAGTTCCTGTCTCGTGTACCATACCCATTTTACCAACAGGGTGATTCCTACCGTTCCTGCTTATCTTTGTCCTTTATTTGGACAAACTGACACCCTTCCATAGTCCTGGGCTGCAGCTGCATATCATGTTTATTTTCTAACAAAGTTCATTGGGCATATTTCAGGTCAAAGTTGTTTGGGGAAATAGTGATGAAAATGGAAGCTGGCATTTTGCTCTGCAGCATCTTCTTTTATATTCATATTTTTAAAGCAAAAGCTCAGTTGGGAATGGGAGCCTGTGTGTGCTGAGGGAGATGTCTCTGAGCACATTTGTGTCCTACCGCTAAAATATATTGTGATTTGACTTTAATGTAGCCCAACTTGTGAACCTATCATTGTAGACTCTGGTTTTGAGCTTAGAATGATATGTGAAATAACCAAATGTATCTTCAAGATAGTGTGACTAACCCAGTTAGCAGAATGTGTGAAACCATCTCTCACACTTTCCTTAAACTAATCATAGCTACCAATCCAGCTGTCATAGTGAAACCTCACATAATTTAAAGTAGGGGATGATGATGTCTATCTAGCACCTCCTCTTTTGGCATCTGTTGGAGAAAGAGGGCAATGCTTACAATGTGGATTTGCAGAATGTTTAAACTATGTCTTAGAATTACGGTAGGTCTGAATTGAAGTGTTACTGCAAGACAGAGAAGAGTAAAGTAGGCCATGAATGTGACGGACGTGAACCAGAGCAAGGAGCAATAGGTAGTTTAGTTGTGGCATCTCATGTTTTTCTTCCTTTTTTCTTTTTTCTTTTTTTCTTTTCCACAGAATCCAGTCTCAAAGACATAATAGTGCTGAAATCCACCTTGGGTAGGCTCTTTATTTCCCCCTTCTTTTATTTATTTAATTTATTTGGTTATGTTTGTTGCATTGTAAAGTAGAAGTAAAGACTGTTGCAGACAGCCCCATCAATTAATATGACATCAGGGACCAAAACGAAATATTTTTGTAACATTATGTACCACTTTAATGTTGTGCTTTTATTTTTCTACTGATGCATTTTTAGTACAGGCTGACTTTTTTTCTAATGCTTGTTAGTATCTCTTTAAGTCCATCTTACATAAAAAGATGGTTAATAAGAAATATGAATCATAATAGCATGCATGATGCTAATTCTACTCCTGATACCTCTTCCACTAGTTGTTTCAGCAAGGAGCTACTTTTCACAAATTAAATGAAAAATATCTAACCATCTTAAAGCAAATTACTTTCTGTATGTACCATGTCAATTGAGTGTGTATGTATATACCGGTATTAAATGTGTATGCCACCAACTCTTTCCAGACTCACAGAGGCTTATCTAACAGTGTAAAAAAATGCCCAAATAAAGGATGGAAAGTAACACAAAAACAATTCATTAACTAAAAGCAAGAGGTATAATATATAATAAATAAATAATGTAAATTGAAAGTACCTTTCAGAAAATTCAGTCTTCATTAACTTCTGAAAGGTGATCACCAAGGGAACCAGCGTAACTTCAGGGGGAAGCTGTTGTAAGTATTTTCTGTCTTTATCTCATCTGGCCTTGTGTAACTGGGATATGATAAGCAGCTTCTCCTGGAAAGACCTCCTTGCATAGGACAAATCCAGTTGGAATAAGTAGTCCAAGGATGTGGGAACCACTGCTTTTTAATATGTAGGTCTCAATAAATCAACACTTACTCCTCAGTGCCAGCAATAGGCTTGTTTTCCAATAACTCAAGTATGCGAAGGGCCCCATTTCCTGACTCTATTAACATCTATGTGACATTTCTTTCTTGGCTGCCATATATATTTAATTTTGTACTATATTGTAACTTCTTCACTTTGATTATTTTATGATTGTTTGATTCCTAGAGTTACTTGTTTGAGATGGGCAATGAATGAATGAAGGAAGGAAGGAATGAAGGAATAAAGGAATAAATGAATGAACAAATGAATGAACAAATAATAAAAAATAATATATAAATAAATACAGGTGGTCCTCAACTTACAATTTATGTTGCTAAGTAAAAAATTTGTTAAGTGAGTTTTGCCCCATTTTATTATTATTCTTGCCATAGTTGTTAAGTGAATCACTGCAATTGTTAAGTTAGTCACATGGTTGTTAAGTGAATCTGGCTTCCCTATTGACTTTGCTTGTCAGAAGGTCGCAAAAGATGATCACATGACCCTGGGGCACTGCAGTCGACATAAATGCGAGTCAATTGTCAAGCATATGACAATCATGTGACCGTGGGAATGCTTCAATGGTCATAAGTGTGAAAAATGATCGTAAGTCACTTTTTTCAGTGCTGTTATAACTTCAAATGGTCACTAAATAAACTGTTGTGAGTCGAGGACTACCCATAAATAATAACTTGTTTATGATTCTCAGTATATATTAGTGCAAGCAAGGCTTTTGTGAATATACTCCATGGCTGAAAGCTATTGTGTACATGAAGGCTGAAGGTGGCATCAGCATGATAAAAGGGTATAAACCCTTTAAATAAATAAATTAATTAATAATAATAATAATAATAATAATAACAATAACAACAACAACAACAACAACAACAACAACAACAACAACTTTATTGTCATTGTATGTGTATACACAGTATACCCAATCAATGAAATTCACTTAACACCCAAATGCTCCTAGTTTTAAAACTGAGATTAGACGGATGGATGGAGCAGACTTATTTCCAATGGAAGAATTATTGAAATTGGTTACCTTGGTACAAAATGATCTATTTGGGGTAGATTATATATAGATTTTGGAAATAAATCGGAATAGCTTGTTAGCAAGGCTCTACATAAAAATAAAGAGCAGCACAAAAAATTGGATATATCAGTAAAAAAGCACATCAAAAGCCCTGCTTTATTTTTTTCCCCCCTGCTTAAAACTGTGGGTGGATTAACTGTATTTGGTTTCCTCCGTGTCATCTCTTCTCAACTGCATGGTGCAATCTTCAATTTTGTCTGTGTCGTCTGTTTAGGCTGCTATAGGTACAGCTACATCAGAGAGGATGTGGTTCTAAAGCTGAAAGGTCCAGACTATTTAGCCTCCAGCTGCCTTTGGCATCTCCATGGCCCCAAAGGTCACATGCTCAAGCTTCACCTGGAATGGACTCTCTCAGAATGCAGGGACCGGTTGGCAATGTATGATGCAGCTGGGCCATTGGAGAAACAGCTCATCACTTCGTAGGTACCCTTCATTTTGTAGCAGCAACAATGGGAAGAGGAGAAGAGTAATCATGGGTTCTATATCTCTCCCATAATCCACTTACATGAAAAATTCCGTTTAGGTTCAGGATATACAAGAAATTTCATTTTGCAAAAGGATGATCCAGATAATCAATGGAAGTCGCACCCATTGAACTAAGGAAAAAGCTACTAATGATTACAAATCCTGTAGAATATAGTAAGGCGATTTTCCAGTCTCCAGGGCAATTAGATTTGGTTTTGGTTAGTGGCAGGGAAAGGAAGAGAAATATCTGGTGCAATTTTGTGTGGCGATTGGTTCACAAAGCTAGTCCTGCATTGTGGCTTGACGTTAAAATCAAAATTAGCATCTAACCTCTCTTAGCCATGTATTCTACACACTGAAATCTGATCTTTTAAAAAAAACAAAAACAAAATGTATAGCAAGACAGGAAAGGTATAGTTACCATCAGCCTATCCTTCTGAAAAATACAAGTTGATTTCTTGGTGTGCATCATTTTGCCAGAAAGATACGACAAGAATATGGAAACTACCATATTTACATTTTCTTACATGCCTAATATGTTTCTAGCCCGCAGGGAGGTAATTTTTGTCTGAAATGGTATAAGGTTTCCTGCCTAAGCAGGGGGTTGGATTAGAAGACCTACAAAGTCCCTTCCATCTCTATTATTCTAATTCTAAATATTTGAAAGAAGGATGCTGTATCTAGTCACCATCATTTATTGTTGCCAAAATATTTTATTTATCTAGGGACATTTATTTATTTCCTGGCCTTTTTCACTTTGTAATGACTTTTCTTTACCTCTCCTCCTCATTTCTTGCACCTCTTTTTTTAATAAAAAAAACTCCCTTCATCCTTTTCAACTTGTGAATATGATAACAATCTGTTTTCATTCTTTAGACTATATGGGTGTAGCCGGCAGGAACCTGTGGTTGAAGTTCTATCTTCTGGCCCAGTCATGTCTATTGTATGGAAGAAGGGGATGTATAGCTACTATGATCCTTTCATACTCTCTGCTCAGGCTGTGCCCTTTGAAGGTAAACAAGGATATGGGCAGAAAGAGATACAAAATGTAGATTGCATATGGGTTCTTATAAAGATCTGTCTTCTTGCATATTTTCCAGTTACTGCTTCTGTTAACTTTAAGATGTCACATATCTGCAACTGGGTAGGGCTAAGCAAAGGGATTCACAAACATTTGGAAGGCAAGTTCAGATCAAGTTGGAAAGGATATCTGACCTTAAGGTTATTGTAAAAAAGAGAAAAATTGTGCTGTGATTAGACATAGTACACTCTAGGTAAGAACCAGTGGTGGGTTGCCCCCGGTTCGCCCCAGTTTGGGTGAATCGGTAGTGGTGGTGGCGGGAGGCTCCGCCCACCTGCCCAGATGTCATCAAAAACTATCTGCGCATGTGCAGAAGCACCGTGTGCTCGCAAAGCGCAAAGCAAGCGCACTCACCCGCGCGCTACCGATAGCAAACCGGTAGCCCTGGTTTTTGAAACCCACTACTGGTAAGAACAGAAGGATGTGATTCAGTAGAGCATGGACTGGGCTGTCTATAGGCCTATTCAGTATATACTGTAATTGAAATATACTGTGCAATTATACTGAGGAACTTTGACATGACCCAATTGGGAATATTAAAAGTCTGGAGAACCGTGGTTCTTCCCTCAGCTAAGCTGCAATTGTACTTTGCTACCTGGTTGTCTTCTTCATGCAATTGTACTTTGCTACTTCAGTTGTCTTCCTCAAATGGGCATTTTTGTTATTATCATAACAACAAAAGGGTTAGGGACTAGTTTGTTTTTTTTTCCAAAACTTTCCCGTCCCCAGCTCCTGCTACAATAAGTAAATATAAATGTAGAAAACTACCTAGTCTTTTGCTTTTGTTTTGCATCTTCTCATTGGTTAGCTGGAAGGAGCAGTGGCTGGCAGCATGGTAGGACAGAGTGTAGCTGTGGTAGGAAACAGCTGAAGACAGGGAGTTCTTGTAACCTGAGATCATAAGCATAGCTCATAAAGCCTTCAAAACGTTCAAATTTAACCCCTGGTTTTAGGCGGTGGAACTGAGAGATGCAACCTTTTGCTTGATCATGAGAAGAGTTCACATAGCTGCCTTCTGGAGTAGGCCAGCTACTCAACTTTTTTGTGTATTGGGTTTACATGCCAACCAAGAATTATGGGAAGAGGGTTGTCTAGTACTTCTTTATGTCACCTGGTATGAAAAGGCAGGAAATAAATAATGCTGAGCTGGATAAATTATGGTCTGATTCAATGTAAAGCTATTTCATTTTTTTTAGTCAGAGTCCTCTTTCAATATCGGCATCGGGGTGCATAATAACTTGAAGGAGTTTGCTTAAAATGAATCCGTGAATCCAGTTTCAGAAAACAAAATAGTGGATAGTTGGCTTATGAGTAGGTGAAAATGGTAGCTACAGGTAGTGCACGAGTTACGGCCACAATTGAGCCCAAAATTTATGTTGCTAAGTGTCCCATTTTATGACTTTTCTTGCCACAGATGTTAAGTGAATCATTGCATATGTTAAGTTAGTAACATGGTTGTTAAGTCAATCTGGATTCCCCATTGACTTTGCTTGTCGGGTCGCAAAAGCAGATCACATGATCCCAGGATACTGCAACTATCACAAATATGAGTCAGTTGCCAAGACTTCTGACTTTTAATCGCGTGACCATGGGATGCTGCAACGGTCATAAGCGTGAAAAATGGTCATAAGTCACTTTTTTCAGTGCTGTTGTAACTTTGGTTACTAAATGAACTGTTGTAAGTTGAAGACTATCTGTATACACATGTGCACCAATCATAGACAAAGCTACACCAAAGGAATGGTCAATCAAACCCCAATTATGGGGAAATGTCTTTATAACTAGCAGGTTTTAGATAGGTCGGGGTTATGCATCTCGGATGTACATTGATTGACTGTAGTTCTCCAAGAAAAAAGCTACAGATTGAAGCTTTTTCTAAGAATTGTGTAACTAGAGATTTGTAAATACCAATCTCCAGGATTTAGCATCACCTCTGCCGCTGTACTTTCATCATGGCCACTGCTATTGAGCCTTGGTTTTTTTAATTTATTTGTTTATTAATCAATCAAATTTATCTAGCTGCCCATTTCACCAAAGGTGACTAACAAGAAACAGATAAAATCACATATAAAAAAACCCCAACAATATAAAAATCATTTCAAAAATGAATATTAAAAAAAGCAGAGATACAAACTCTAGGTACAGAGGATAAGAATAACCAGCACAGCATTATTTATTTCCTGCCATTTAAATAAGTCTCCAGTTCCCTGGGAGCCTCAGGCCTGATAACATAACCAGGTCTTGGGGATCTTCTGGAATGTCAAAAGAGATGAAGCCAATCTAATTTAAAGAATGTTCCTTAAGGTGGACACTGTAGCAGAGAAGGAGAAGCATCAGAGCTTGGACATAAGATAGGTTAACTGGAGATGAACCTTATCGGGGATGGGCTTCAAAAATTTTAGCAATGGGTTCTCTGCCCAGTTGCTGGGTGGGCATGGCCATGGTGGGCGTAGCCTAGTCGGCCTCCTGCACCACAGTGGGGGGAGGGTTTGCCTTCTCCAGGTTCTGGAGGCTTTCCGGGAGGGTGAAAACTCCAAACTTCTGGTAGGCCTGTTTTTTGCCCTCCCCGAGGCTCTGCAAGCGCCCTGCACTTACCTGCATCTAAAACAGGCCGCGTGGGGACACTTGGGAGGGGAAGGGAGGGGTGGGCGGGGCCAGCCAGGACTGGGATTTGGGGATTCTCCAAACTGCACAGAATCTTAGCTACAGGTTCTCCCGAACCCCTGCGAACCCCCAGCAGCCCACCCCTGAACCTTATCCTATTAAATCTGGACCTCACAGTAAAGTAATACTGGAAGTTAGAAAAGATTGAAGAATAAGTTGCCAGTTAAGTTTTATAAAATATATCCCAGTCCACGGTGCTAGTAATGAAGTGCTAATAGCATTATTAGAAGAATCTTGGTGACTGCCCCCTAAGGAAGGACTCCGAATCCTTCCGGAGTTGGCAAATGGGCCGTTTTCAGCCTCCGGCGGGCCTCCGGAGGGCCTCCGGGGCAGGGAGGCTGTTTTCGCCCTCCCCAGACTCCTAGAAAGGTTCTGGAGGCTGGGGACAGCAAAAAACGGGCCTACCGTGCCATCGTGTGCCAGGAGCGGGAGAAGCGGGGGGTCGCATGCGCATGCTTGGTGCCAGGGTGCATAAAATTATGGGTGTGGGCACACACACCTGCGACACCACCACCACCTCCGCTCCTGGCACGCGATGGCAAAAAGGTTAGCCATCGCTGGTCTACTATGTTAGTATTTGTATTAAATATCCTCATTTTTTTGTCAAAATAATAAACATGAGCAATATTTTCTGTGGGACCCAGTAAGTGTGACAATGCTGCTGTCTTTTCAGCCTGCCAGATGAATCTAACACTGAAAGAAAGCTGGGGACGGCAAGGGAATATCAAGACTCCTTACTACCCAAGTTACTATGCACCAAATACACAATGCACTTGGCACATGATGGTATGATTTTGGCTGTTCCTAAGCAAAACCGAGCTGGGTGTACTTTTATACTTAAATAAGAGAAGCCAAATGCTGTAGACAATATACCTTTACTTTGTTATTGTAAATTCTTATTATCTTTATATTTGACTTCCCCAAAACTTGTACTGAGCACTGCACATAAACAGATAGTTAAGACCATTCAATTGAAAGAATGGAGATTTGAATTTCTGTGTATTGAAAAGTCTTAAAGTCATATTTTATAAGCCCTTACTGATCTCACCAAGGATGTATTTTGATATGGTTTGTTTTGTATTTTAGGAAAACTGTTTTCCTCTTCCCCTCTTTCTCAGCCCTCATGCTTTGTAACACTCATTTTTGTATTTAAGAACTAGGGACAAAGCTCTGTTTCTGTATGTATGTAAATAAAACTCTCAGAAGTTTTCAATGTCATAAGAGAGCCAACTATGTGTAGTGATTAAGGCATCAGGCTAAAAACTGAGAGGCCATGAATTCTAGTCCTGCCTTAGCAGTGGCACTTAGACTTATATACCACTTCATAATGCTTTACAACCCTCTCTAAATCCTCTCCTAGACCTAAAGCCAGCTGGGTGAGTCTCTCTCAACCCTGGGAAGGCGGCAGTAGCAAGGTTTCCTAAAAACCTTGCCAAGAAAACAGGAGTGACCAGGGGTGGGCTTCAAAAATTTTAGCAAGGGGTTCTCTGCCCGGCTGCTGGGTGGGTGTCGCCATGGTGGTCATGGCCTAATCGGCCTCCTGCACCATGGGGGGTGCGTTTTTGCCCTCCCCGGGCTCCAGAGGCTTTCCTTGAGCCTCCGGGAGGGTGAAAACAGCCTCCTCAGGCTCCGGAAGCCCTCTGGAGCCCTTCCTGAATTTCTGGTAGGCCCGTTTTTCACTATCCCTGAGCCTCTGTGCGCGTCCTGTACTTACTTGCATCCAAAATGGGCACATGGGGACTCCTGAGAGTGGAGGGGAGGGGAGAGGTGGGCGGGGCCAGCCAGGAATGGGATTTGGGGGTTCTCCGAACTGCACAGAATCTTAGCTAGAGGTTCTCCCGAACCCCTGCGAACCCCCAGCAGCCCACTCCTGGCAGTGACTTTCCAGACTGATTCAAAGGCACATACTCACACAAATGCCTATACCATCCACTGCATTTCCTTTTTCGTAGGTTCCATCTCTGGAATATGGAGTTGTTCTTTGGTTTGATGCTTACACTCTCAGGAGGCAGAAGTACGACCTTCCATGTACTCAAGGCCAATGGACCATCCAGAACAGAAAGTAAGGAACCTACAAACATCTTGGTATGTTCATCTTACAGGAATGACTTAGAAGAAACCATACCTATGATTGTAAAACAAATAGGAAGGCTTTAAAAAAAAAAAAGACTTGACTTTCCTACCTGAATATTAGCTATCCAACCTAGCCAGCCTGCTGCTTTTTAGGAATTATAAAAAGGACCAGGTTTGAGAATTTTTTTTATTTAAAAGTCTCTTTTGCTATATTTTAGAAGTGGAAGAGAAGAATTAGTAGTGGAAGACAAGCAATTAAAGACGAACAATGCAGTCCTAGATATGCTTCATCAGAGTAAGCTTCAATAGATTCAGCAGGACTTAAATTTACAAAATGCATCTGAGTTCATGAAACATCTTTTCCACAAAGAAATTGGATGGTTTCATAACTTTTGTAAAATCAGACTCTTGCTAGCTGTAAGTTAAATTCTATAATGAAATTGCTCTCTTCCTGAATACTCCAGCTCATTGTTAAATGACTTGGAATTATATTTCAGACTGAGTTTCCCTTCATCTCTGCTATCCATCACTCAAGGATGTGACTCTTGAGAAATGATTTCTTTATCTGCTTCTGCTGCTTTGTATCTTCCGTGCATTGAGTTCTTGGGACTCTGTGCAGTTAACAACTGCATGATGGAAAGATATTCAGAATATACAATTTTCCATTTTTGCTATATTCTCGATGCTAAGGAAAATTGCTCTTGCTAGATTTCTGGTAATAATTCATTTTTTTAAAAGAAAAAGTGATTACCTTAAAGATATTGAAAAACAACATCCAATTCCCCCTGCTCCCCTAACAGTTGGATAGTTTTTTTGCTATATAATTACATTACTTAAACTGGCTCAATTTTAAAAAGAAATCAAAGTTTAAATATGGTCTCAGGTTTGTAATTCATTTCCTCCACTTTTTTAACATTATACTTTCATCAGGTGAGCCTTCTTCCTGCGGTCACAGTTTATAGCTCTCTTCCTCATTTTTAAAAACAAGGCCTGGATGGTCTCAGAATTTATTTTTGGGTGGGGGAGGGGGTGTTTAGCAACTTGGGTTCTAGTGTCCGAGTTGTGTCCACAGCTAATGCCAATATTAGGGTGCATATACTGTATAGCTGATCCTGGAAGACAGTAACTTATTTTATCCACTGGGGGAATTGTAGGTACCCCTATTTTTCGGAGTGTAAGACACACCGGAGTATGAGACGCACCTTAGTTTTTGGGGAGGAAAATAGGCAGAAAAAATTCTGCCTACCAGGTATACATCTAGCTAGTCCTTAGCCTGGTCAGCTTCAGCACATTAATTGGGGCTGGTTGGGGCTAAAAAACAACTTCTTAAAGCACAGCTGATCGTCGGAGGGAGCAGCAATTAGAAAAGCAGGCAAAGCACAGAAGATCGCTACCTTCGCATTGGGGCTGAAAAACAGCTTCAAAATCACAGCTGATCCTTGGAGGGACCTCCAGTGACTAAAGCAGGCAAAGCGTTGAAGGGGTAAGAGAAGGTAGCAGCTGTTCCAGATAGCCATTTTGGGCACCATGCGGAGTTACATTCAGAGTATAAGATGCACCCAAATTTTCAGCCTTTTTTAGGAGGGAAAAAAGTGTCTTATACTCCAAAAAATACGCTAATTTTATAATGGCAGATGTCTCACAGTCTTCATTACCAGCAAGCCTGGCTGTTGGAAGGATCCAGAAGATGATTTTGACCTTCTCTTGCTCCCTAAATTTCATGACATCTTTCTTCCTATACCCTTGGTATTTTCAGAGGCAAGATGGTTGATTGTGATTTATGACCCTAGTCTTTTTTTTAAAAAAATCTAGATTCTGTGGTCTGCGGATTTTGCAAGCCTATGCCGAAAGAATCCCTGTGATGTCTAGAGCTGGTGTCACCATCAACTTTACTTCTCAGATCTCCCTAACAGGGCCTGGAGTGTGGGCTGCTTACAGTCTATATAATCAGTCAGACCGTGAGTATATAGTAGTCTCTAAAACATACCGTTCAGCTAACTGGAAACTTGTGGAAATTTCAACGCATGCCTTGTTATGAATGTTGCCACTGTGACTGAACATGAATCAAGGGCCAAACTTGATTCAGACTAATGGGGAACTGGATGCTTTACAGCAGAACATCAATATTATTTAATTGCAGGGGACATTTCCCTAAATGGCCTAGAATGCAGTCTTTTGCATGATCAGCACTACACTTGCAGGTTTTCAATATTCTGCCATAGATCTGGACTCCTGCCTCAACTTGCTGCCAGATCTATCACGAGGGGAAGGGGGGAGTTTCTGCTGTTTGTGTACCATCTACACAAACTAATTTCCGCTTCTTAAAAGCACAGCACTTTAACCATATAAATTGGTACTTGAAATTAGAAAAAAATTCAGATAATATTCTGCTCTCTTCTGTGATGGGCAGACTTCATCTTAGATCCCACTAAAACAGTGATGGCTAACTTTTTCAGCACCGAGTGCCCAAAGCACATGTGTGTGCACGAATAAATGTGTGTGCGTGCCCACACCCATAATGCAATGCACACATGAACCCCCCTGCAAGCCCCACCTCCCACGTACGTGTGACCCCCATGTGATTCCCCATGCATGCCCCCCATGCATGCCCCCCATGTATGCACATGTGTGCATGTCCCCACGCACACGTGCATGACCTCTGCACAATCACGTGTGAACCCACATGTATGCCCCTGTATACGCACGCATCTCCCGCATGCGCTTTGCCCACTGCTCATGCATGGCAGAGACCCAAAAACCAGCTGGCTGGCAGAGTGGAGCTGGGGTGATGGCTCGTGTGCCCGCAGAGAGGGCTCTGCGCGCCACCAGTGTCATGCGTGCCATAGGTTCACCATCACGGCACTAAAATGTCAGAACTAAATGCAACACCAAACATTGACATTCTAAATGTGCCCATGGTTTTAACTCATAGTCAGGGGTGTCAAACTGGTGGCCTGCGGGCCAGATGTGTCATGTGCAGGCCACACCCACCCCAGCTCCATAAATCATGAAACATCACGTGAAGCAACATGACATGGCAAGTTTGACACCTGTGTCATATGGTAGATAGTGGTGCACTGTTCTCCAGCTTCTAAAATGTGACCGCCAGTTTTGGTATAGTGTTAAGGCTGGTGCCAGGCTAGAAGTCAGAAGACAATGAGTTTTAGTTCCATCTTAGCACAGAACCAGCTAGATATTGTTGGCTAGCTCTTTTAGCTTCAGCTCTAGGAACTGTTTCTGAGATTCTTGCGAAGAAAATAGCAGGGACTAGTCTTGGTAATCACTAGGAAATGCACAAGACTGCGTTGAAGGCCCATACACACACGCACAAAAAAACACATGTATGCACGCACTCAAATGCTTACACCATCACTCAGTCTTCTAAAAATGATTTTCCTCATTCCTAATTTTACAGCTACTACTATTTATTATTATTATTTATTTTTATTTTATCAAATTTATATACCGCCCTACTCCCGAAGGACTCAGGGCGGTGAACAGCCAAAAGATAAAACACATAAATTACAAAATTTAAAAGACAGTGTAAAACCAATTAGATAATTTGGCCCAGGACAAATTAAAACACCCCCAATATTTAAGGCAAATTTAAAATTTACAATTTAAAAAGTTAAAAGGGGAAAAGTTAGGCCAGGCCGGCCTGTTGAAATAAAAAAGTCTTGAGGGCGCGGCGGAAGGTGCGTAGATCCGGGATCCTCCGTATCTCCAGGGAGAGCTCATTCCAGATAGCAGGTGCCCCCACAGAGAAGGCTCTCCCCCTGGGGGCCGCCAGTCGACACTGTTTGGCCGACGGCACCCAGAGGAACCCCTCTCTATGAGAGCGTACTGGCCGGTGAGAGGCTACTGGTGGCAGCAGACGGTCCTGTAAATATCCAGGTCCTAAGCCATGGAGCGCTCTAAAGGTGGTAACCAAAACCTTGAAGCGCACCCGGAAGACCACTGGAAGCCAGTGCAGCTCGCGCAGGAGAGGTGTTACATGGGAACACCATGTTGCTCCCATAACCACCCGTGCGGCCGCACTCTGCACCAGTTGGAGCCTCCGGGTGCTCCTCAAGGGGAGCCCCATGTAGAGAGCATTGCAGTAGTCCAGGCGGGAAGTGACGAGGGCATGAGTGACCATGCGTAAGGAGTCCCGATCTAGAAAGGGACGCAACTGGTGAATCAGGCAAACCTGATGAAAAGTCCTCCCAGTCACAGCCGTCAAGTGCTCTTCTAAAGACAGCCGTAAATCCAGGAGGACACCCAAGTTGCGAGCCCTCTCCATGGGGGGTAATGACTCGCTCCCAATAGTCAGTGATGGCACCAACTGACTATATCGGGACGCCGGAAACCACAGCCACTCGGTCTTGGATGGGTTGAGCCTGAGTCTGTTTCTCCCCATCCAGATCTGCATGGCCTCCAGGCATCGGGACATCACTTCAAGGGCATCATTGGGGTGGTCCAGGGTGGGGATGTACAGCTGAGTATCATCAGCGTACTGATGGTACTTCACCCCAAAACCACGGATGATCTCACCCAGTGGCTTCACATAAATGTTGAACAGAAGGGGCGAGAGGACTGACCCCTGTGGCACCCCACATATAAGGCGCCTCGGGATTGACCTCTGCCCCCCTGCCAACACAGACTGTGACCGGTCGGAGAGAAAGGAGGAGAACCACCGCAACACAGTGCCCCCCACCCCCAACTCTTCCAACTGGTGCAGCATGATACCATGGTCAATGGTATCAAAAGCCGCTGAGAGATCTAACAGGACCAGGACAGAGGAGCAACCCCTGTCCTGAGCCCTCCAGAGATCATCAACCAACGTGACCAATGCCATTTCCGTGCTGTACCCAGGCCTGAAGCCCGACTGGAACGGATCCAGATAAACCGTTTCATCCAGGTGCTGGGGAAGCTCTCGCGCAACCACACTCTCAACAACCTTTGCCACAAAGCGAAGGTTGGAGACCAGACGATAATTTGCTAACTTTGCCAGATCCAGGGAAGGCTTCTTGAGGAGAGGCCTCACCACCGCCTCTTTCAAGGCGGCGGGAAAGTCACCCTCACCCAATGAAGCATTTATAATTCCCTGGAGCCAGCCTCGTGTCACCTCCCGAGAAGCCAGCACCAACCAGGAGGGGCACGGGTCCAACAAACATGTGGTCGCATTCAGTCTACCCAGAATCCTGTCCATGTCATTGGGAGTCACAGGGTCAAACTCTTCCCAGATAACGTTCTCAAGACCTTCCTCCACCATGCCCCCTGAATCTACCCAGTCAGAGTCCAGGTCTTCCCGAATCTAAGTGATTTTGTCATGCAGATACTGTACAAAATCCTCGGCTCTGCCCTCCAAGGGGTCCTCCCACACTCCCTGGTGAAGCAAAGAGTGGGTCACCCTAAACTGGGCGGCCGGGCGATTATCTGATGACGCAATAAGAGCGGCAAAATAATTACATTTTGCCACTTTTATCGCCACTAGGTAAGTCTTAATATGAGATCTTACCAGTGTTCGGTTGGATTCAGAAAGGCTGGCCCTCCAACTGCTCTCCAGGCATCTTTTCCGGCGCTTCATCTCCCTCAGCTCCTCAGTAAACCAAGGAGCCAGATGAGTCTGGCGCCGGGTCAGAGGCCGCAAAGGCATGACCAGATCCAAAGCTCCAGCAGCCGCCCTATCCCAGGTGGCCACTAGGTCTCCAGTCGAGGCATGAGCCAGAGCCTCAGGGAATGGCCCAAGCTCCGTCTGGAACCTATCAGGCTCCATCAGGCATCTGGGGCAGAACCATCTCATCGGTTCCACCTTCCTGCGGCGAGGTGTGGCGGTTCGAAGGTCAAGACGAAGGAGGGAGTGATCCGACCATGACAAGGGCTCAATTGCTATGTCCCCTATCTCGAGATCACTCAACCACTGTCCAGAGACAAAAACCAGGTCCAGCGTGTTTCCCCCCGTGTGAGTAAGGCCATGAATTAGCTGGGTCAGGTCCATAGCTGTCATGGAAGCCATGGACTCCTGAGCCACCTCAGACGTCTACTACTACATGGATTAAAAGACTTTTATGGATTTAACACTATATTGATAATAATCATTTATTGCGGACAGGGGAATCTTTCATTCTCAGGTTTCAAATTATATTATAGATTCAATTTCATACAGAATTAGAAGTAGATTGGAAGCACAGCACAATATTTCAATATTTAAACTGAATTTTGAAAATGCATTAAAAACCAACTAATATTCCACTTTATTTTCCATTTTTTTAAAAAAAAGCATGCCCCAGAGAGTTCCTTTGCCTTGTAAATGGTTTATGTGTGCCAGCTTGTGATGGAATTGAAGACTGTCCCAATGGGCTAGATGAGAGAAACTGTGGTGAGCAATGCTTTATCATTTCCCTCGTCTTCACATTGTACGTGATTTTTGTTAGTAAATAACTGTTCTTTTTGAGCAAGAGGATCTCTGCGGGTGACATGTGCTTTTCTCCTATCTATGAGTCAGCTTCTTCAAAACATATTGAACATTACACTTTCAGAATCACTTGAAGTTTCTATGAGGCACCCATTGGTGAGAAACAGTTGGTTGCTATGGGAAAGGAGATCTATAATGAAGAAATAGATGCCACATTCATGAACTGTTCTGTCATTTAGCTATGAACCCCACTGGCAGAACCTGAACATGGGAAAGTAGACATACATTTTCACGCACAATCAAACATACAATTTCAAAAAAACACATTATCTTACCATGTGAATTGATAAACATCACTGCTGGTTGATTTAAGTCTGTAACTCCTTCTAAAAATCACATTCTAGCTTCCTCTTTTTCTTTATGATTCTCTTTTTTTAAAAAAAAAAACATATCCAAAAAGGAGACTATGCTCTAGGAAACATTTATTACTTATATGTTTTCTCTGTGTGTGTTTGTCTCTCTCTCTCTCTCTCTCTCTCTCTCTGTGCACCTGTGTGTATAGATATGAAAAAGATCTTGGGATAGTAGTTAATTGAATGTGAGCTGACATGTAGTTGCTGCAAAACAGCAAATGTAAATGTAAAGTATACGTTCATATAAAGTACAGTTGGCTGATTTTCAAAAGCAGATTTATACTGGATGGCCAGTGAAAATTCACTTATTCTATAAAAATAACATAAAGGCAAAGGCCTTTCAAATGATCACAGACACAAAAAGACGCATAAAAATACATTGGGTATTGGGGACCATTTGTATCGTCTCCCTTTTTCATCCCTGTTGCTCTTCTGCCTCCTGATTTTTCTTCTTTCTTTTCTTTATGCTTTGCAATTTTCTAGTCTGCCCTGCAAAATTTCAGTGTCAGGAAGACAGCATGTGCATCGAGTTCTCCAAGCTCTGTGATAAACATCTAGATTGCATCAATGGGAGTGACGAGGAGCAATGCAATGAAGGTATAGAATCAAGAACATCTATTAAAGAAACTTTCTAGAATCTGCTATCCTCAGAAATCACATTAACTGAGATAGAGCCATGGAGCCGCACTGGCTAGAAAGTAGTATTGCAGGCTAACTGCCGACTGCCAGCAGTTTGATCCTGACAGGCTCAAGGTTGGCTCAGACTTCTATTCTTACAAGGTTGATAAAATGAGGATCCAGATTGTTAGAGGTAATATGCTGACTCTGTAAACATATTAGAGAGGGCTGTAAAGCACTCTGAAGCAGTGTATAAGTGCTATTACTATAGTATGAGACATGAAATTTTACACATTTGGAGGACACTAGATTGGGGGGAAATGTAAATGTATTGCATTTAATATATCCATATAAATAGGATATATAGGATAGGACAGTGATGGCTAACCTTTTTGCCATTGCGTGCCAGTAGCGGGGCAGGGGGGTCACACGTACGTATACCCACATCCACAATTCTATGCCCCCTGCACATGCGCGCACAACCTCCCCCCGCTTCTGGCACATGATGGCCCAGTAGGCCAGTTTTTCTCTCTCACCTGGCTCCAGAGCCTTTCTAGGAGTCTGGGGAGGGCGAAAATGCCCCCCCCGGAGGCCCTCCAGAGGCCAGAAATGGCCTGCTTGCCAACTTTCAGTGGGCCCAGAAGGCCCGAAAATCAGCTGGCCAGTGCATGCATACACACCGGAGCTGAGCTCATGTGCCCACTGATATGTCATAGATATACAGGAGATATATTCCTGGAGTGGTAATGGCAGTTGGGAAAAAGAACTTGGGATAGTAGTCAATTTAATGTGAGCTGACATGTAATGCTGCTGCAAAAAAAGCAAATGTAAATTTAGATTATATCAATGGAAAGTATAATTTTCAAATCAAGGGAAGGAATCATTCCACTCTTATTCTGAACCGATCAGATCCCGTTGTTTCCTATTTTGTGCACCACATTCTTGAAATGCCTGAAAGGAAACCACTTGAGTGAAGGTCAAGACCTGCTCTTTCTTATTCCAGAACACAGGATGTGAAATTAATGATTTAAGACATAGGAAGTCAAATTTCAGTTAAATGTTAAGAGGGGGGGGGGGAATTTCCTAACAGTTAAAATAGCTCAGCTGTGAAGCCAATTATCTTTTACTGGAAGTTCAAGCAGAGGCTCTACCATCTTGATGGTTGGACTTGATGACCTAAGTGGATTCTTGAAGGTTGGACTTGATGGCCTAAGTGACTCCTTCCATATGATTCCATCTGCATTCTTAAACAGCCCAGCTTGCCTTGTTTGTAGCTTTGTTTTCAGAGTACAAATTGTTCCTTAATATAAAAGCAATGGGCCCTGATGTTGTGATTGTCACTTTCTTTTCACCATTATCATACCTTTGAGATTGAGCTTCATGACTGTAATCAAGTGCAGCTGTTAGGTAATTTGTGGACCCACTGATACTGCCAAGTTATAACTCCCAGCCAACATGGTTAATTACTAACATTTCTGGACATGGTAATTCATGCACATATGGAAGGTCACCAATTCTCCACCCTGTGAGAAAATTGCAGTACTGCAAATGATAAGAATAAAACCATATTCTCTTTCCACCACATAATATACCTTTGCAGGAATCCCTTGTGGACTTTACACTTACCAATGTGCTGATGGGAACTGTGTGAAGAAGTCCAACCCTCAATGTGACTCGGTCCCTGATTGCAAGGATCAATCGGATGAAATGCATTGTGGTAAGCAACTAAGCAACTCAGTGGAAGAGATCCATCCTAGTCAGAGGAATATTCTAAAACCATCTCAGCTTCTTCTGCTTGGAATGATTCTAATAGCAGAGCTATTCTGCTATTCATTCCGTCAAGGGCTGTTGGCACTAGGCTTCAGTCCTACGCACTAGTCTTTTCCAAATGTTGGGACTGCAGTTCTCAGAACTTTCAACAAGCATGATCGCACATAACTTACCTGGAGGATATTAGTATGCTTTCTGATTTGTGTTGATAGAATTCATAATTCTGGGTGGGTATGAAATGCTATAGCAGATTGATTACATATCCAGTTTGGAGGGACTCAGTATCAAACGGCTATCATGCAGAGTATCAACATGTTCCTTCTGAGTGGAATAATATAAGCCAGTGGTGAAATCTAATTTTTTTTACTACCGGTTCTTGTGGGCGTGGCTTGGTGGGCGTGGTGTGGCTTGGTGGACATGGCAGGGGAAGAATACTGCAAAATCTCCATTCCCACCCCACTCCAGGGGAAGGATACTGCAAAATCTCCATTCCCTCCCATTCCAGGGGAAGGATACTGCAAAATCCCCATTCCCTCACCACTCCTGGGGCCAGTCAGAGGTGATATTTGCCAGTTCTCCAAACTACTCAAAATTTCCGCTACCGGTTCTCCAAACTACTCAAAATTTCTGCTACCAGTTCTCCGAACTGCTCAAAATTTCCGCTACCGGTTCTCCAGAACCTGTCAGAACCTGCTGGATTTCAACCCTGATATAAGAAAAGTTTCAGTGAATGGGTGTTATCATGTATATATCGAATCATTCTTGTCACAAGAACAATAATACCCAAGGTATACATTTTCCTTTTCATTGACATCAAAACTTGCATTTTACCCTTTCCTATTCCAATAACTATTTCTCCACATGGATTAATCCATTTTTCCATTTGCAAGGCTCCAAAGGCTGAGTGTGACTGTTTTGGCAAGAAAATATGGTGAATGAAAATGGTATACAGTTTCCTGAGGCAGAAATATTAATTTTAATTTAATTAATTTAAAAATCCATATGTGTTATATGTATTATTTTGTTAGATTTATACCTTGCTTTTCCTCTTAGAGGTCAAAGTGACAGATACAATAGTCTTTCTTCCATTCCCCCAATTTAAAACAATAGACTCCAAATCAGACTGTTGTTTTTCGGTGGCTGATAGTGAACAATGTTACTTGATATGTCTGTTCTTAGTCCAATTTCTTTTATTATTACTGCATACTGTGGTCAACATCAACATTGGTGGGCAAATAGCTGCTGAGCGTAGATTTTTCAGCTGATAATTGGGTAGAAAACTTTGATATTTGAAACTCATTCCAAAGTAGAGTCTTAGGGGCCACTTTTTATTTAAAATAAACATGATCATTATAAACACATTTACAATGTACAACTTGGACTATGTTCTCACAGAATCTGCTCTGATTTCACAAGAAATAAAGAGATGCAAGTAAAAATCTCATATAATTTGAACGGTTATGAAAATACTTGGGTTTCAAGATTCAGTTAGAAGGAAATACTGTCAAGGCTCTGAAGTCTGATCTGACTTTTTGAATTGGACCAATGATTCCAATCAAATTGTGTTGGGTTTTTATCAAAATTCAGAAAATGTTTTGAATTAATTTGATGCTCAAATTGGAATGCCAATCCAAGAATTCAAACTGAAACCAATCAGCTGCTCCTAATGGAGTCAATCATCAAACTGCACACTCCCAACAATTTGTTCACCAGCATTATATGCCAAGTGATTAATGTACGAGAGCCAATTCAATGTAATTAAGGATTTGGACTGAGTCCAGAGAAACTCAAGTTTGGATCTGCCAATCATTGGCAACCTGTATATATCCTCACAAGAATGGTTGTGAAGATAAAATGAGGGGAGACGCCACTGCCCTAGTACACCAACTTAAACTTCCTCCCAGAGGAAAACCTGAGGCATAAATGCAGTGGATGAATGAGTGGTAATCACAAAGGAAAACCTGGATTTTTCTGTAGGCATGATTTTTCAAAACAGGAAAACAAAATCGATCATAAAGAGTCTTGCAAGTACACCTCTCCTCTCCCACACTCTGTTCTACCACTTTCCTTCACTCTTGTCATACTTTCTATTTTCTAAAGTTTCTCTCTTTTTTCTCAGACTGTGGAGTGCAGGAGGCAGGAACACACAGAATTATTGGTGGGGCTCATTCTGTGGAAGGGGAGTGGCCTTGGCAAGCAAGTTTGCAAGTGCGTGGGCACCACCTTTGTGGGGGAACGTTGATTGCAGATCGCTGGGTGATCACTGCAGCTCACTGTTTCCAGGAAGACAGGTAAATAAAAGGGGTGGGTGGCTTAAAACCCATCTTTTTAAATTTGGTGGGGGGTTTTGGTCACACTATCAGATGCACTGGGTTTCCTTAATCAGATAAATTAATAACACTGAACAAATAGTTAAATATATACATTTAGCCCATAGCAAATCCACAATCTTGGGGTAATGTTTTTGCTAGCTTTTTGTTTCTCCTTGTTTAGTGTTCTAGGGTTGCTTCTGGGAGTATACTGCACAACATCCTGTCTGCTATTCTGCCCCACCCCATTGTTTTCCTCTCACCGTTTCTTTTTCAAGATAGGTTCACGTGATAAGAGATGTGTTGGTCTTTTGAGATACCATAGGACTCTTGCATAAAACCAACATGTCTACTCCTTTATTTATAGCCACTATCTAAGCAAATTTTAACTGCTCCTAGTTTCTCTCTTCCTCTTTTCCCTTTCCTCCCTGCAAGCAATTATGTGCTTGCAATGTTTTTCCCTTAGGAAGAACATTACAGAAGATGCAATGACCTGTGACTAATGAAATCTTACCCATTAATAAAGCCAGTTCCACAAATTTTGGGTCTTGGGCAGAGTTTGATGAGGTGTTCAGACAGTTTCCTTTCTTCCCTAAACACAGAGTCCTTTGAGCTGTACTTGGAAGCTGGACAAATGAAGTTATCAAGAGAAAAACCAAAGTTGCTTAAGCTATTTCCCACTCTTTTCTTCTGCAGTCACGTTTCCCCCACAGTCTGGACCGTATACCTGGGCAAGCACTTTCTGAATGCCAGTAGCCACAATGAGGTTTCCTTCAAAGTGAACCGCATCCTGCAGCATCCCTACTATGAAGAAGACAGCCACGACTATGATGTGGCTCTGTTGCAGCTTGACCATCCAGTCATCTATTCTGCTTTCATCCAGCCCGTTTGCTTGCCTGCCAGCTCCCACCTCTTTGAGCCTGGCCTCTTGTGTTGGGTCACAGGCTGGGGTGCAGCCAAGGAAGGAGGTACAGTATTTGGTTTGTGTGTCCTTAAGGCTCCCTCTTTTTTTAGATTTATAAGGATGTATCAGATATAATCATAGGATCAAAAAGGCATCCTAAGCTTTTGCCAAAAGGAGTGTGCAAAACTTACTAAAAGTTGGCTGGTGGAAGCAAATTCAGCCTCATAGGAATACTACATGTGTGCTAAACTCAGGCCAAGCATTGCAAGGACTTTGCAGCAAGATGCTATCAAGCTCCCTCTAGTGGATCCTTGCATAAATCATGCAAATATCACAGCATACTTGCGAATGCCAGGGAGTTGACTTCAAGATTTGTTCCTTTCCTTTTTCCCCTCCATAATTACATTAGGTTTGTTCAAGAGGTTCTTCCAAGCATCTGGAATGAAAGCTACTAATTCCAGAACAGCAGTTGCCAGAGGAATAATACCATTGGATTCAACCCATTCTGTTAGGCTCCAATAAGGTGTCTTATTTGCCAAACGGTACCTTCCATTTCTTATTCAATGGAGATTTCCTAAAACAGGGAAATATGACTATAATGTCACACACTTTTAAGCATGAAGCAGGTAAACATTGACCTGAAAGAACTGTTGCCTCCCTATAGAACAGGGTTTCATTCCAATTTCCACATATTCTACAGCAAGGTTTCTCAGCCTTGGCAATTTTTAAGACTTGTGGACTTCAACTCCCAGAATATCCGAGCCAGCATGGCTGGCTGGGGAATTCTGGAAGTTGAAGTCCATGCATCATTAAGTTGCCAAGGTTAGGAAATCTTGCTATATAGAACATGTAGAGATTGGAATTTCATAGGAACAGGGAATATCTTCTTCCTCTGGTCAGTTCTGCTGACCTGCAGCTCCTCTCCCACAGGTCCTACAAGCAAGATTTTGCAAAAAGTGGATGTGCAATTAGTTCAGCAAGACATTTGCAGTGAAGCTTATCACTATCAGGTCTCTCCCAGGATGCTTTGTGCTGGCTACCACGAGGGCAAAAAGGACTCCTGTCAGGTAACTTTAAGCATTAATTTCCATGATCTAGAAAGAACTTTTCCCTCTCCTGTGAAGCTGCTGCTTGGAACCCTGACAACTGCCTTAGTTGCATGCAATGTCACACACTGAGTGTTGCAAAGCTCATTACTCAGAGCTTTCTCTTTTCTTGCTATTTGAATTATTTTTGCTCTGACTGGTCTTTGGTTTCATTTTTCTAGGGAGATTCTGGAGGACCTCTTGTTTGCCAGGAAGTCAGTGGCAAATGGTTTCTAGCTGGTGTGGTGAGCTGGGGAATGGGCTGTGCACGTCCCAATAACTATGGAGTGTATACCAGAATTACTAGTGTAAAGGAATGGATGAAACAAACTATGTCAAATTGAGCATCGTTCTAAATCCCTCCTTTTGTTACAAGGAAACACTATCAAGGAGACATTTTTAGTCCTTGTCCCACTGTTTCAAATAGCCAAAACTGTGGGAGACATCCCATCTTACACCTGGCTCCTGTTGCACCTGATATTCAAGTACTGGTCTTTAAGGATGTTTTAGTGTGTGGAGAAGCCTAAGAAGGCAATTGAAGAAAGATTGTTCAAAATAAATATAACATTTGAGATGCTGCTCTAATGAAACAATAGAGAGGTATGGTGTCCTCCTTCAAAAGGTATTGACTGTAGACTGGTCCTTAGATTAGTTTGGATGGAAAATCCAAGTCATTAGGAAATTTGATTCTCTTCAATGTTAAATGTGGGAGTAGAAATTGGAAGTCCATCCAGTTTTTCTTGTATTATTTAAAAACCAATTCCCAAATGGTAGTGACCAAAACACTGAGAAATGGGAGGAGCTGTTTGTGGAATGTTAAGAGAAGAACATCAGGTGAATTTTGTATTATTACTTACATGACTCATGCCTTATCTACGTGCTGATTATTTGAAAAAAATTATGCATGGATTTTCCTACTGCTAAGATTACTGGAGTTTTCAAAGGACGTATCTGGAAAGAAACCCTCAATGAACAGAATACAAATGTATTTCAAGGTGATATCCTTATCCAACAGTAATCACCCACCTACTGCAGCTTCACCCCAAACTACCGTGTGGATGAGGTAGGAGGAGACACCTCTTAATTTAAGACTGGCAATAAAAATCCTTAAAATGCCAAATCAGAAAACAGAGACTATTGTCCCATGTGTTTGCATAATGGTCCTGCTTGCACAAAATGGCCGATTTAGTGATCTCTTTCCTTGGCAAACTGATCCATCATTATGTCCTGACAGTGCACGATATCTGACAGCCATTTTCTTTAGGTCTCCAGGAAAGAAGTGTGCCGCCAGAGCAAAACAACCTCCTTCTACTTTAAGGCATCCAAGTAGATTGACTCCTTTTGCAAAATTAAGATTCTCTGCCTTGCATGAGATCATTTCATCGATCTGGACTGAAGAGCAGAGCTGTTTTGCAGTCAAAATGTTTACTGCAAATTTAAATAAGATTTCAGGCACCTTGCATCGTTTGACAGCAAAAGAGAAATTCTGTCAATAAATGCAAGGGATCTTGTACAGAAATTATAATGAAACTATTCTGAAAATGATATAAACATGCTTCAGAGATTTCCAATACCTGCACCCTGAAGTATGCCTCTTGCCAACAAGAGGATGTTTGTTGCACAACATACATTTTTTTGTTTACTTGCACAATCATGATATATTTGTTCTTAGCAAAAACTGTAGAGCTTTTATTTTAACATCCCATCAACTTGGACATACCCCTTACAATGATATTATGACTTTAAATGTAGCAGGACTGTGGCAGGCTAGCATTATATGGGTTGAAGCTACTGGACTCACTCTGAAGTAGAATTACCATCACCTCCTAAAAAATAGAAGAACTGGTAAACACAAGAGGACCTTATTAAATTGGTAACTTACTCATTCTAGAAGTATCATCCTAGGATGATACTTCCCCATGTTTTGTTTAAGCCAGTGTGTCAAACTCAATTTCATTGAGGGTCACATTCGGGTTGTGTTTGACCTTGTGTGGCCAGGTTGGGCATGGCCAGCTCGACGACAGTCATGTGAGGGGCGCCTGTGGTGGCCTGAGTGCTCTGCCAGCAAAAACGGGCTCCCGAGCTATGTTTCAGCTATGACGGTCTCCTGCAACCTTTTGCCAGCAAAAACGGAGCTCAAGAAAGTCGCACACAGCTCTCCTGACCTCCATTTTCGCTGGCAGAGGCACTGCGGGCCGGTCCTTCACTGTTTCCAGGGTGGCCCTGCAGGCCAAATCTAAGCACTCTTGGGCTGGATCCGGCCCCTGGACCTTGAGTTTGACACCCCCGATTTAAGCTGATAAGCTGCTAGCAATTGCCCCATGCTTATTCATAATCAATGAAGAGGAGGTCAACCTGTTCTCCAAAGCACCCTGAAGACAGAACAAGAAGGAATGGATGGAAAGTAATCAAGAAGAGAAGCAACATAGAACTAAGGAGAAATTTCCTGACAGTTAGAACAATAAATCAGTGGAACAAGAAGAAATTGTGGATGTTCCACCACTGGAGTTTTTTAAAAAAATATATTGGAGAACCATTTGTCAGAAATGGCATAGGGTCTCCTACTTGTGCAGGGGATTGGACTAGAAGACCTCCAGGGTCCCTTCCCACTCTGCTATTCTGTGAATTCCAAAGCAATGAACTTGGTTTCAGAACTAATTAAAAACACACTTCTTGTGATATGGGTGGTTATATACATTTGATAAATAAATACAATTATGGTGCCACCAGAAACGGCTCATTGCATTCTAAACTAGTCCAAATTGTTTTGGCACCGAAGGGGGCCAAATCTTTTAAGAAATTCTGCTTTCCACCAGAGGGCAGAAAGAACACACAAACTCAAAACCAATAACTATTTTGTAATTCTTCCATGACATATAGCTGGTTCCTGAAGCTGTTACTTCAACCTGATAAGACCATTCATGCCTGGTTTGAATCAATAGTCTTTTAGAGTGCATTCTCTAATACTGAAAGTGTTCCTAGTTCCTTCTTCAGTCACAAAATTGAATTCATGTTTTCAAAAAAGTGTATAGTTGCACATAAAAGGCTGAATTCATACTTGGAACATTTTTTTCTAAATGGCAATGCTTTTAAAAAACAACTTTTAAATACTTCAGAGAGGTTAAAACTGTGCGTGTTTTGCTAACCGTTTAAATTCCAGAGTCCTTAATAAAATTATGGCTGAGATTGCATACCATACGAAGTCATGTTTTCCTTAAATGAAATATGGTTTAGTAAATAAATTCCAGATAGTTATTAACTATATTTGCAAAACACATTTCATTTAGTATGTTTCCTGAACACAACCTAAGGTTTCTGAGCTGTATGAATGGACAGTTACATTCAAGGAAAATAAATTTCATGAATTCATACTTTCTCTTGAATGTAAGAAGCTGGAAAAATAGATCTCCTTGCTCTTTATAGCACTGGAAAATAAAATGTTAAGATCTGAAAGCTGCATCCTAATCTGAGACCACCTTAACATAAAATAGGTCTCAAGATCCACAACCTCAGCCCCAACTAGCAGTAGTTCCTGCTGGGAAAAGGCCCGATTGGCACCAAGGAGAAGCAGGCCAAATCTCCATTTGCTTGGGTTTCAACCTTTTAGCTGTTCTCCTCCTCCTTCCTCTAGAATCCTGTTATCTGTCCAGCAAAATAAATGTGTTGATGGAGTCAAATGCCATTATGGAAGCATGTGTTTCCTATGTACATTCTGATGAGTATATATTTTCTAAGGGCACAAGAACATGAGACATAGTAATGAGATAGTGAAATTTATTCAAGAGTTTTTACACAGCATCCTTGGACACAATTTAAAAATTGCTGTCTCAATTAACAGAATTATGGATATCTTTGTAGTAAACACGTGGCTTTATATTAGAAGTAATATTTGTCCTGTTGATTTACATAAATGGCTATGATATTTCCTGGAGCACTGAAATGAAACACGTACTTAGGTGGCTGCGTGTGCATGCAGAAACACATGCATTCAAGTGTATCAAAGGGCAGATGCTCATCCATTAGAGTATTGTTACTAACTCTCCTCAAGTATCACAAGAAAGAAAGGCTATAGGGAAGAATTTATGTGCTTCCCTTCAGCCTGACCTTTTGGGATGGAGAAAATGTGAGTAAGAAAAGTATTCGGCTAATTACAGTTACAGTTGTGCATCTGGGAACCTGAATTTGTGAACCATCCCCAATATCATAGAAATTTAACAGAATCATACAATTGGTTGGAAGGGGAAGGATTAGAGAATGCATAACTCCATCTCCCCACTATATTTTTTTGCTCCTAATGTCTATTCCATAGGGATTTTTTTTTTAAAAAAAAAGGTATCTCCAAACAGCCATAGAGATGGCAACTGCAAGATAAATAGAAGTGAAATTGATCGACCAGGTAAAAATCAAACCAACGTTATTGCTGAATCAAATCCGTTTTCTTCTCTCTCGTGGTCTGGCTAGTTGCATGCTAGAGGACATTTGTATATCTTTAAAGCTGCCCGCATGGACATGCTTTCTTTTGGGCAGGTCTTCCATGGAATGGTACACGTATAAAGAAAACAACACCAGCCCCTCTTCTCTAGGCTGTTCTCTTGGAGTTCCTGCCACCCACTCCCTTGCTCTGCTTACCAGATGGCAAATCTGGAAAAGCTAACAAATTAATACAGGCCTGGGAAACCAGCGGCTGGAAAAATTGCTTCGGCAACAGGAGAATTTGGAAGGAAAATGAAATATTTGTCATGTTGCAGTTTGCTTGCCTTTAGATCTTCATGGGGCACGTTTCAGCAGCAACAAACCGTAGCTTGTTTTCATCCAATTTGGCGGGGGGGGAGTCAAACTGCACTGCAAAGTCTACCCTTTGGTACATATGATGATGTCACAACATGTGTACAAAAGTGATGGGGCTTGCATCGAAAGATTGCACACATACACACACACACACTGCCCAACCCTCCAACGTCTCTCTTAACTTTCCCCTCAGACACTGCTGTTTTTTGGTAAAATCTGGTGCAGTTTATTTATTTATTTGTTAAAACTGTATGCCGCCTTTCTCCGAAGACTCAAAGCGGCTCACACCAAGCCAATGTGATCTGCTTAGTGATGTACTTTCAGGAATAATAAAATCTTGTTCAAGAAGGACAACACTCTCCTTCTCAGTCTAAAGGCATAAGGTTTATTATTGGATCTGCTTCCAAGGAAGAATTGTTATTTGAACATGAGCCAAGCTCTCCATCTAGAAGCATATCTATCGAAGGAGAAATACTCCAGCTGGTTTCTTTCTACAAAAAGGGGTGTATTTTCTTACACAACTTCTTATGCTGCCCTTTGCAGCTAAAAACGGAACTCTCGAAAAACACTATATGCAATGCAAAGAGCAAAAGATGGAGCTACTGCATCTCTTCATGCTTCCTCTCTTTCACACTGCAAGGGTATTCCTGCATGCCAAAATGTTAGAACTCATGTAATGGAGATAGCTGTCCACAAAGGGCAACAGGGATTGCAGGACATTCATTGTTAGAAGCTCCTGAGGTCCTTTCCAGAACCTCGTCTATTCCCACACTGAGCAAGCCTGAAACATGCAAGGCTAGAAGGAAGTTCTGTCTGTTTTACTTTGTTCTCCCCAGCAGGGGAAGCTGTGACAGCATGAAAAGTCCATTCTGGAGGCCATGAAGAAATTAGTTCCTGAAAGTGCATGCCACGTCTCCCAACAATAACACAAGGGTAAGAAAAGTAACCCAGTGTTTTGAAGAATAGCAGAACATACAGCAATTAGAGGGTGCTGCTTAGAAACTGGAAAATACAATATTTCATCTTATTCTAACAACCCACCCCATTGTGGTTTGTTTTTTTTAAATAACAGTACAAAAATAAAGATTTAAAAGTTAACTTTAAAAAGAGAGAGAGACATTGATCATCATTAGCATCATATCCTGAGACATCTGGTTTGTAACAGCTTTAAAAAAAATGGCAAGGAGGAACAAGGGCAGGAAACAGGAGAAGAGAGGACAAAACAAATGAACAGGATGCATGAGAAAAGCTAAAAGTAGTATCTAGAAAAGCAGCTGGAGGGCGGGGGGGGGGGAATCAGGTGAATACAAAGCACCAGTGGTCTCAAAGACTATCTGACCTTCAGGCCACAGCAGAGAGCCAAGACATTCCTGCAGAGACAAAAGATTAAGAAACCTTTTCTGCTAGAACCTCCCGTTGCAGATGATCACTGAAAGGAGCGCTTTGCAAGTTGAGCCTTAGGGATGCCTTGATCCTTCCTTTACAACAAAAGACAAAGCTCATCTATGTGTCAAGCCCATAATCCTTGGAAAAGGCCAATGCTGCTCAACAGCAAAAAAATTTATACACTGAGAAGAGGGTAAATATGGGTACCCCTATACAAAAGACCAACAATAGGATTCTTCCTATAGAACAGGCGTGTCAAACCCATGGCGTCACGGCGGTGTCACGTGATGTATCGGGACTGGTTTCCCCTTTGCTAAACTGGGCGTGGGCTTGGCCAACGTGTGACGCATCTGGCCCACGGGCTGCGAGTTTGATAGTCCTGCTATAGAGACAGTATTAGAAAACCTTAAATGGTAAAACTGATTGCCATAATCTCTATTCTGATTACAGATTAAATCAACTGTTTTAAGAATACCTAAATCAGTCCTGGATTGTTGCTGGTAATCTAATCTAAAACCTGGTTTTCTTGGGAATATCAAATTCAACTTTTATTTTTATTTTATTTTTATTTTTATTTTATTTATATGCCGCCCTTCTCCGGAGACTCAGGGCGGCTTACAATGTGCTAAGCAATAGCCTTCATACTTTTGTATATTTATACAAAGTCAGCTTATTGCCCCCACAAACTGGGTCCTCATTTTACCTACCTTAGAAAGGATGGAAGGCTGAGTCAACCTTGAGCCTGGTGAGATTCGAACTTACAGTAATTGCAGACAGCTGGCGTTAATCACAATGCTTTTAGTCTGCTGAGCCACCAGACCCTCTTTGTAATCTTCAAGGTTATTAGGTGGGAGAATAGGAACAGGAAATTAGATTTACAATGAAGGGTTGTTGTTTTTTTTACAGCAAAGACATGACATTCTAAAGGGAGTTTTTCCTTCCCCTTCATTCCATAGGCAAAGCTATAAAATATCTGACATTGCTTTCTCTGAGAGTATACCTCCTTCCCCGTTTTGGATTGATATTCCAGATCACAAAGGAAGAAAAGAAACCCTAAGAAGTGCATGAACAGTATATACATTAGACTATAAATCTTTGCGAGCAAATATTTTCTCCTTTTTAATGTATCAGGATGGGTTGAATGTTCTGTCCCCATTGTAAAAAAAAAAAAAAAACTTTCACAGTAAGTTCATTATAGTTTTCCTACAGTGATGGCTGCCTCTGAAGATAGAATCCTAGTTCTTGTTATCAGTTATCTTCTGTAATTTTTAAAATGCTTTTGGCCAAGAGGCGCAAGTGAGGTTTACACTGTTTTATAAAGGAAGACACAGAGTTCTACGTGGAAACCCCACAGATGTCTCCCAAGTGGGCACTAGCATTGAGGGCACCCTCAAAGAAGCCATTCTTCTAGGCAAGTGGGCTAGAGTTCCCTGTAGAGTTGCCTGCCTTGTTCTAGGTCTCATGGGAATGTCTGATGCAAGCTTTGATCCCCCTGGTGAGTATGGATAGTGTGTTTTTATAGTTCTGAGAAATCATCCCAAGAAAAATAAAGAGTTTGAATTCCTCTATTCTGCTCAGGTAGATCTTGACTGGTCATCCAATGTATAGTATGCGGCAATCCTTTTTAACTAAATCCTGGAATTGGGGCAGAAGAAAAGGATTACAATTTGGTTCCAGTAAAAAGTGGCCATAAAGCAAAGGGTCCAGGTACAGAGTGATGATGAAGAACCTTTCTTGCTAGAGTGTGTCCTTACCTCCGATTGACCGAAATTACCATATATACACACCCAATATTAGGCCCAATTTGAAATTAGAGTTACCTTCCTATTTGTCAGCCACCATTACTTCCTTGAGGCAACACTAACTGCCTTACCTCTGGCTAAGAATCTATCATGAAAGCAACAGCAGCCTTAGCTAGTTGTTCATAACTTGTGTGAGCTTCTCCTTTTCCCAGTCGGATTTCTTGACATAATTTGGATCCAGTTTTCTCTCTGAATCTTAGAGTAGAAGCCTTGGCCATGACTGAGGTAGCAAAAGTATACTGGAAAAGTGATTTGAGCTAGCTGATCCATAGACAATTGATATTGCAGTTGAATGTATACATTTTGTAGAATATATGACCAGCAAATAACCTCTTCCAATAATCATAATGATAATAAGCTTAATAAACTATATGATAAATATTTAGTTTAATAAATATATCCATCCAAAACCTAGGTGCATGGAATTTCAATAGCGTGACTGAGTACACTAAAGCAATGAATTAGAAAGAATGATGAAAAGATTAAAAGTACCAAGAAGTGCCACTTGTAAAGTACAAGAGAGCCAGTTTGGTCTAGTGGCTAAGGCACCCAGGCTAGAAACCAGGAAACTGTAAATTCTAGTTCTACCTTAGACATAAAGCTGACTGGGTGATTTTGGGTCAGTCACTCTCTCTCAGCCCAAGATTATTGTTGGGAAACAACAATGAGGAAGGAGTATTAGATATATTTGCTTCTTTGAGTTATTTATAATAATTATAAAAGCCAGGATAAAAAAAAAATCTTCCACAATTAAGAACTGCTCAAATATTTTTCTACAATTTGGAAATTGTAACAATATTTATAATAGGATTGATGAGAAGTAGCTGATCAAGGTCTAATGCTATAAATGCTATGAAACAGGAGATGAAGAAGAACTCTGAGTGAAGAGTTAATGCAAAGAGTGTGTGTAGCGTTTAAGAGCTTATTATATTTTGTTTGATACTTTTGCCTCTACTTCTCCCACTGTATTTTCCACTCTAAAAAATCCAGTCAAGGACCTTCAAAACAACTTTAGTAATTGATAATTTATTTAGATAACATCTCTGCTTCCATTATTTGGGGAAATTGGACTGAACAGCAATGTGTACTTCTATTTAGCTGTGTTAGAATTGAGAAATATATTAAATGAACAATTATATTCAAGCTTTTATTCAATAAACTTAACATATTTTTTGTATTGCATACTGTTGACTTATGGGGTGATTGTACCCATAAATATCCTAAGAGGGGAAGAAGTAAATTCTGTCTCTCCCCTCACAAAGAGAGTGGTTCTTATAAAGGTAAAAGTAAAGGTTCCCCTCACACATATGTACTAGTCGTTCCTGACTCTAGGGGGCGGTGCTCATCTCCGTTTCAAAGCCGAAGAGCCAGCACTGTCCGAAGACGTCTCTGTGGTCATGTGGCTGGCATGACTAAACGCCAAAGGCGCACGGAACGCTGTTACCTTCCCACCAAAGGCGGTCCCTATTTTTCTACTTGCATTTTTTACGTGCTTTCGAACTGCTAGGTTGGCAGAAGTGGGACAAGTAACGGGAGCTCACCCCGTTACGCAGCACTAGGGATTCAAACTGCTGAACTGCCAACCTTTCGATTGACAAGCTCAGCGTTGGGGATCTCCATTTTCCTGTCTTCGGGGATTTGTGGGTGCATCTTTCACATCTTTGTGAAATGAAAAGCAATTTCTGCCACAGGGACATTCACAGTAGAGGTATGAGACATTCTAGTCTGAGGGGAGGTATGGGGTTTCAAGAGCATGGAGGAGCCATCCCTCACAATCCTGTTCTAATTCAAGAACATGTCTTGGAATATGAGTGACAGATTCTGGCTGCCTGGGCCCAAGAGATTGGCAGCCTTTCCTGAAATACTCAGGAAAATCTGATTTTTTGGGAAGCACCTGATGGATTTGGGGAATGACTGTTGTTCTTCCTCATCCAGAGACAACTCATCCCTTTCCCCATCTACCCAATCCTGAGGGGAGACACATGAGTACATTGTACAGTGGAGGATGGGAACTGGGCACCCCTTTTTCATTTAATTGTCTGGCTTTTCTCCCTGTTGAGATCTACAAGGGGAAGAGAAGAGGAGCTACACCTTTTGCCTACTTCCATGTTTGGATCCAGTCAGGAAACCCCAAAATGCAGTATCTCGCTCTTTTGTCCCCCAATTTGCCCCAAGGCATGTGGTTAATGTATGGGGTCCAACCAAGTATGGGAATGCATAGTTTGTGGTTACTGACTCAGGAGACATCTTGGGGAGAGGAAACAAAACGATGCACTGACATGCCACTGAAGACCAGCCCTCGTTTGACCCCAGCCATTGGGGAGATACTTCCACAAACAATATACTGCTATTGATGTCCATGGCAGAAGGTCTGTTGAGTTTATAGGAACAAAGAGAAGGAAAGGGACCAAGGGGGGGGGGGAACCTGAAGCTGAAAAGCAGCCAATGTAGAGGGAGTGCATAACAGAGCTGACAGGCAATGTACTCTCTGAAGCAGGCAGGACTCAAGCAGGAAATGAGACAGTCTTCCCAGCAGAAGCAACATCAAAGCCCTTCCTTGTCCAGGAAGGAGATATCACATTACAGAACATTCTGGTTTCCAGGTAAGAGGAAGATTGGCAAGAAACAGGAGGTACCTTGATACAGTTGAGTAACGAAGATAGTAAGAAAATGCAGATGGCAAAATTTACCCTCAGCAAAGACAGACTTTTTTTTTGCAACACGAAACTTTGGTTTTTCTTTTAGATCTCAATATAAGTAACAATATATTGTTGGTGATGGGAGGATGCGTGGCTGCCAAAAGCGTAGCACACAATTGGCATGCAGAAGAACCAAACTTGATCTCTGGCTTCTCCGGTTAATGATATCTCAAAGAACAGAGGTAGAAAAGACTTTTGTATGAGACCCTGGAAAAGTATTATCCATAAAGAAAGATACAGCCAAGTCAGAAAGCTCACTCTCCATTTCATTTTTTTAAAGGCTGCTTTGTATGTTGAGAAGTCATCTTCTCCTGCCTTTAATCTTCTACTGTGATACTCCATTTCTCAGAATCATGAGGCTTATGCTGGAAGACAAATTCAAAATGGTCTCAGTCCAAATACCTACATCTCAGCGCAAAAAAAAAAAAAAAAAAATCCAAGAAAAAGGAAGGTGCCGGGTGAATAATGGATAAAAGGTGTGACGATGATGTGTTGTCTTTAACAAAACAGAACAGGAAAGAGAGGCCCAAAGTCTAAACTAGTCTACAACGCAGGATTCTTGGCTCATGGAGAAAAAGACAGGCTTGGAAGAAGGATCAAAGGGAAAAAAAAATAACAAAAAAAGGAGAAGGAATGAAAAATGGAAAGAGCAGAAAGTAAAAGGCCTCTAAAAGGTCACAAGAAGAAAAAGAATCGGTGGAATCTTGGGTTGATGGAGCTTGCTACAAATTTAGTATTAAAATAAACAGTTCAGACCAAAGTGCAACAGCTGCCAAATGCACAGTTTTCGCCCACCTCTCACTAGCCTTAAGCTTCTGTATATTGCTTGATGCCCACACAGGCATTCCATGCACCCTCTTTTGAAGCTCCTCCACCATCGGCTTGCACTGGTGCCTCCTCCTGCCTCTCAACGTCTTGCAGCTGCAGCTCCTCGTCATTCTGCTGTTCTTTTTCTGGGTCTTCCTCAGAATTCTGTGTTACAGCAGGTGGCACCTAAGGAAGGAACAACAGAAATAGGAATATCACCAGTAAGGGCCTGGTGATTCAACCTCTTTTGTAAAGATTCTGGAACAGAGCTTCAGCTTTGGGTTTAGTTAACTGGGATAGCCCAAAGGCTGAGAGAATAATTTTAAGACTAGGAAATAACAGAATAATAGAGTTGGAAGAGACCTTGGAGGTGTTCTAGTCCAACCCCCTGCTCAGGCAATACTATATCAGACAAATGGTTGTCCAATCTCTTCTTTAAAACTTCCAGTGTTGGTGCCTTCACAACTTCTGGAGGCAAGTTGTTCCACTGAATAATTGTTGTAACTGTCAGGAAAATTCTTCTTAGTTCTAGATTGCTTCTCTCCTTGATTAGTTTCCATCCCTTGCTTCTTGTGCCTTCAGGTGCTTTGGAAATAGGTTGACTCCCTCTTCTTTGTGGCAACTCCCTAGATATTGAAACACTGCTATCATGTCATCCCTAGTCCTTCTTTTCATCAAACTGCTAGATACATCCAATTCCAGGAACTGTTCTTTATATGTTTTAGCCTCCAGTCCCCTAATCATCTTTGTTGCTGTTCTCTGCATTCTTTCTAGAGTCTCAATAACTTTTTTTTACATTGTGTCAACCAAAACTGGGTGCAGTATTCCAAGTGTGGCCTTACCAAGTCATTGTAAAATGGTATCAACACTTCACGTGATCTTGATTCTATCCCTCTGTTAATGCAGCCTAGGACTATGTTGACTTTTTTGGCACTTGCAGCACACTGCTGGCTCATATTTAACTGATTGTCCACTACGACTCCAAGATCCATCTCACAGTAACTACTATTGAGGTAGGTACCACCTATACTGTACCTGTGCATTTGGCATTTCTTGCCTAGAAAGTAAAACCCTACTTTTTTCACCACTGAATTTCATTTTGTCAGATACGACCCAATGTTCAAGTCAAGATCCTTCTGTATCTTAACCCTTTCTTCTGGAGTGCAGGCTATGTCGTCTACAAATCTGATGAGTTCCCCATTCCTGAAAATATATGTGCTTTGTTCTGCAATATTTCATCTTCCTCCTGTTTTACTTTTAAAAAAAAAACCTTTTAAAAAGTGAGGTGGAATAGGGAGACTGGCGGACACAATATCTCTCAAAGGTATCATGTTACCTTTGCTGAACTAGATCATGTATCTGGATGTAAATACATAAACACATTATGTGATTAATATTTTGTCAATGAAGAACTTGGGACTAATCACCTCACTTCAGAAAGTACCTCACTCTGGAATATCAGGTAACAGAAAACCAAGCAGGACAATACCATGCAGGTGTGAGCAAAATGCTTGCAATTCTGAAGAACTACAAATTTATTTGAATTTAGGATTATCATATCTATGAAAGAAAATAGGTATCAAAATGTAATTCTGCTCCATCTCTCCTTATAAAAAGAGTCTTCACTCTTTTTATCCTTCCAGAAATAATATTTTTAAAAGGCAGAAAAGGCTTAGAAATAAACATTTCTAAAACTAGATTGGACATGATAGGGAAACATCAAAGAACAAGTCTTAACACATTTGTCATTTGATAGCTGAAAAGAGAGTTTAGAACATAAGTCATTTAAATTTCTGGATTTTAAGGACTGCTCTAACCTTGAGTTTCCGGCTGGACTCAGAACAGAGGCCACTGGGTGAGCTGCACAGTTCCTTCGAGACAACGCACAGGAATTCTGATTGATCCTCATTCCCATAGTTATAGGATGACCCAATATTCACCAACTGTAGAAAGAGATGAATGAACGCTTGTTAGGCCAAATGATGCAAAATTTGGGAACACTTCTGGTCTGAAAAGGAACATAAGATCTGAAGAGGTCAAATGTTAGGATTAGTGCAGAAAACTTAATGTGAGCACATTTATCCTCCACAGTGGTCTTCATATGACAAGAAACAAAAGAAACGTAACCGTGTTTTTCAATAGAGCCAGAAAAGATTCAATCTGCCAAAAGATTTTTATCATGCCATAGAAAGAGCTAAGGAATATTTCCCCTCGATCTCCAATTAAGTTTGGAATGTTCTAGGATCTGAAAAATCTATAAATCTTAAACTTATATAGTCTAAGAATTGGGAGTATTGCCAAGTCACAATTTATGTCTGCAATCTTACCTGTGCTTACAGAACAACACAGGTTTATTAAAAAGTTAAGCACCATACAGTTTAGTGGAACCTATTCCCAGGAATGCAGTCAGAAGTGGGGGGGAAGGGGGGGATGACTAATAAAGTTTATTAGGTCGATAGCATGTTTTTTCCTTCTTTGAATCTGGTTCGTGAATTACTTTAAGAGCCAAGAGAGAAATCACTATCCAATTCTACACTGGGAAATCTATATTCATAATCTTTTAATAAATTTAATAAATAAATTAAATAATCTTGTATACCTGTTCAAAGCGCCACCCATCTGACATTGTAGAAACCATTTGTGTGAGCTCTTCCTCCTGACATTGCAGTACTCTGTAGACATGCTTTGGTGGCACCTAGAAGAAACAGGACAAGGAACAACAGATCATATCAGCAAGGACTTTCCTGTCTACCTGTCCAGATTTTCTATTAATAAACAAAGCCAGGCAGTTGCTTCCCATCCTCAATTCTGGGTCATAGTGAAGAGAACTCTATGCTATAGAAAAGACAGAAGCAACCGATAGATAGAGTTTTCTGGCAATCAAAATAAGTAGTGCTGCTTTATGAGTGATGTGATTTATTATAAGGCAAAAGGAGTGAGCGGTTCTGAACTTGGAAGGAGGAGAGAGACATGAAATTTCATATCTGAAAATTTCATGCCTTGAAATGAAACGTTTTGCACTATTCTCACATGGAGATTCAGAGCAAGGCCACACATGAGAATAAAAAGCGCAATCTGCCTTAAAAGATTTAGTCATTATCTCCCATTAAAAGAGATCTAAAAGCACAGATTTTCTCATTTCAGTAACCTCCAGATGGGTTGGGATTTCATTTCCCAGAATTCCCAGCCCATATTGCTTTGATCATTTATGGTTGAAACTGAAATTGTGCCAACACATCTGGAAGGCCCCTGGTTGGGAAAAGTTACAGTACTGTATGAGAATTGCTGCCAATCCAAATGGAAGATATATGGACAAGTAGCTTAATATGCGAATTCCTAGGACATTTTCCAGCTTCTCACTTCTCTCATAACAACAATCAAAGACCAAGTGCCAGGAGTACTACCTTTTCACAGCTCCCACATATGATTTTTTTCCCCAAAAATATTGACTGAATTTTCAAGAATCATTCTTTCCAATTGCATAATTAACACTGAATAACAAATACCCCAAAATTAACTGAATTAAAACAGCTCCTGCTTTAACAATTAAATGCTGGCTTGTTTATTCCGTCTTGTAACATTTATCGTTGTTCAGTTTTTTTTGTAAAATGAAACAACATTCTGGGCACGTTTGTTTGCAATTTCTCTTAAATATAATTCTGACATTTCCCAACCAACCTGGGTTATGGTGTAATCCTTTTCCTCCAATCTGTCTTTTATTAGTCTGATTAGAGACCCAATGTTGTAGAATTCTGCTTCTTCCAGAACTCCTAATAATAATAGCAGAGAGCATAACAATAAAACACTAAGTACTGAACAATCTCACTATCAAGTAATATTAATTAAAATATAAACATTTAGGTATTAAAGAGAAAAGTTTGGCAATCCTTAAACTTAACTCACAGCAGAATCATAAGCTAATGACACGTGTGTGATGTCTTTCACAGAGATCAAATTTGGAAAGGCAATCAAAATCTATGGTGGGAAGGCAAGACTACAGCGAAAAATCACGTAAGGGAATATTTCTAATACTGGGAAACATTTAATACTAAATGTACAGTATATCACAGGAGTACACCCCCTCACATTTTGTAAATATTTAAGTATATCTTTTCATGTGACAACACTGAAGAAATAACACTTGGCTACAATGTATAGCAGCGGTGAAATGGACTTACCTTCGCTACCGGTTCGGGAATCTGAGCATGCTCGCGCCTCCTCTGCGCATGCGCAGAGCCTTCTGTGCATATGCAGAGGGTAAAAAATGGGACGTAATGACGTCCCGGCGGGTGGGCAGAGCTTCCCACCACCAGCGCTACCAGTTCTCACGAGCCAGTGTACAGCTTGTATAACAATGTAAATGTGCTGTCCCCTCAAAATAACGCAACACAGCCATTAATGTCTAAACTGCTGGCAACAAAAGTGAGTATACCCCTAAGTGATAATGTCCAAATGGGGCCCAAGTAGCCATTTTCCCTCCTTGGTGTCATGTGATGCATTAGTGTTACAAGGTCTCAGGTGTGAAGGGGGAGCAGGTGTGTTAAATTTGGTGTTTCACTCTCTCATATTGGTCACTGGAAGTTCAACATGGCACCTCAGAGCAATGAACTCTCTGAGGATCTGAAAAAATGAATTGTTGCTCTACATAAAGATGGCCTAGGTTATAAGAAGATTACCAAGACCTTGAAACTGTGCTGCAGCATGGTGGCCAAGACCATACAGCAGTTTAACAGGACAGGTTCTACTCAGAACAGGCCTCGCCATGGTCCACCAAAGAAGTTGAGTGCCCGTGCTCAGCGTCATATCTAGAAGTTGGCTTTGGGAAATAGACATGAGTGCTGCCAGCATTGCTGCAGAGGTTGAAGGGAGTGGAGAGTCAGCCTGTCAATGCTCAGACCATATGCCGCACGCTACATCGAATTGGTCTGCAGGGCTGTCATCCCAGAAGGAAGCCTCTTCTAAAGATGATGCACAAGAAAGCCTGCAAACTGTTTGCTGCAGACAAGCAGACTTAGGACATGGATTCCTGGAACCATGACCTGTGGTCCGATGAGACCAAGATAAACTTATTTGATTCAAATGGTGTCAAGCCTGTGTGGCAGCAACCAGGTGAGGAGTACAAAGACAAGTTTGTCTTGCCTACAGTCAAGCATGGTGGTAGGAATGTCATGGTCTGGGACTGCATGAGTGCTCCCGGCACTGGGGAGCTACAGTTCATTGAGGGAACCATGAATGCCAACATGTACTGTGACATACTAAAGCAAAGCATGATCCCCTCCCTTCAGAAACTGGGCTGCAGGGCAGTATTCCAACATGATAACGACCCCAAACACACCTCCAAAATGACTACTGCCTTGCTAAAGAAGCTGAAGGTAAAGGTGATGGACTGGCCAAGCATGTCTCCAGACCTAAACCCCATTGAGCATCTGTGGGGCATCCTGAAACGGAAGGTGGAGGTGCGCAAGGCCTCTAATATCCATCAGTTCCGTGACGTCGTCATGGAGGAGTGGAAGAGGACTCCAGTGGCAATCTGGTGAACTCTATGCCCAAGAGCGTTAAGGCAGTGCTGGAAAATAATGGTGGCCTGGCCACACAAAATATCGACACTTTGGGCCCCATTTTGACATTATCACTTAGGGGTGTACTCACTTTTGTTGCCAGCAGTTTAGACATTAATGGCTGTGTGTTGCATTATTTTGAGGGGACAGCACATTTACACTGTTATGCAAGCTGTATACTCACTACATTGTAGCCAAGTGTCATTTCTTCAGTGTTGTCACATGAAAAGATATACTTAAATACATACAAAATGTGAGGGGGTGTACTCACTTCTGTGATATACTGTATATTATAGCTCAATGTCTATGTCATCCCAACTCACATCACAGTATTGTTGTTGTGAGGAAAATAGGAGGAAGGTATATCGGATATATTCGCCGCCTTGAGTTATTTGTAAAAATAATAAAGGCAGAATACAAATAAATAAATAAATATGTTCAAAGACACACAATCGAGACTTTTAAAGGAAGAAACTATATGACATCAGAAACAGAACTTTATCCACCAACATTATAGTAAACCTGCAAGTGCATCTGTTTTTCATAATCTTGCCTGCTGCAAAATGAGGAGATTTTGATTTAAGAGAATCAGTTTATCATAGAAACATACAACTGAAATAGACCTCAATAGATCACCCAAGCCTATCAATACAAAAATGACTAATGTAATATGAGGAATAACTAGCCTTATTCATATTTCCCATTTTAATTCTTCCACATATATCTGTACATTATGTTAATATCTATTTTCATTCCATTCCTAGCAGCTTCCACATCAAATTTATTTATGAACACTTCTCATTCTTTCTGTTACAACACTAATCTATCTTCCAATATTTTTCATACAGGATCATCATATTTGATCCTTATGCTCCTTCCAGCTCTATGGTTCTGATTCTTCTTCCAATTCCACTTCCACTTCCACTTCCTCTACTTCTATTTCCTTCATATTTTTCCTTCTTTCTATGCCTAGATTTTTTCCCCAAAAAGCAATCAAAAACTGTCAAGAATGTTCTGTGTCACATTCAGGATCTCTCATCATCATTATATGGTTCACTAACTCTTTCAATCTTTCATCACAAACAAATCAGTAAAGCTTTTGATTTATACAGGTAGTCTTCGACTTAACAGCAGTTCATTTAGTCACCATTCAAAGTTACAACAGCTTCAAAAAAAGTGGCATGACTATTTTTCACTTATGATTATTGTAGCATCCCCATAGTCATGTTATTTACATTCAGATGCTCAACAACTGACTCACATTTATGACAGTTGTAGTATCCTGGAGTCATGTGATCACCTTTTGTGACCTTTTGACAGGCAAAGTCAATGAGGAAACCAAATTCATGTAACAACCAAGTTACTAATATAACAGTTGCAGTGATTCACTTAACAAATGTGGCAAGAAAAGTCGTAAACTAGGGCAAAACTGACTTAACAAATTTCTCACTTAACAACATAAATTTTGGGCTCAATTGTGGTTGTAAGTTGAGGACTACCTGTATTCCTTCCTTTTCCATGTGTACATGTGAACAGATTAAAACATAAATCCTGAATTCCTAACAAACACATATTTCTTAGCAAGTATGCGATAAACAATCATCGTTTTCATTCAACTCTGAACAGTCCCAATGTTTATCTGATTCCCATCATTCATTCAAGTCACCTGACAAGTCATTTTTCTCCAGAATCACATTCAATTAAGCCTGGGTCTTCCTTTGTCATTTGAGTGTAACATTAACCAAATCAAATCACATCAAAACTAATATATTAGATTTTTAATACCGCTCAGTTCGAGATTACTCCAGATACTGAACCTACTTTCATGGGCATTCACAACTACCTAATGATACCAATTCATACTTTCTGACATGCACTTTAATCCTTTCATTAATAATTAAACTTAATTTCACTTTTCCACATTCCACTCAATAAGATTAATCCACCTTCAATCAGATTTATTACAATTACATTTTTTCTCATAGTTTCACATAAGCACATGTAGCTATTTTTCTTTCATGTGTTTTAATTTTTTAATTATTATTAACAGTAGAATACAAGCAATTACAATACTGATAAAAATGTAGTGGTTTGTAATGAAAAAAAATGTACATGGAGGTGATTAAACACTATAAAAAGAAAATGTGGGAGAACTAGTAACAGAAAAAAAGAAGAAATATCCATATAATTTTCATTTAGCATCAATAAAGAATAAATTCAATCCTCAATCTTATTAGTCAGTCTGGATCATATGGAAATCTATTGCTTTATGTTCTTATTTTTAGAGCAAAAATCTTTTCAAAAATAGATAAGGCTCTTATCTGAATTCATCAGGAAAATATATTCCTTTCCATTTACATAAGATTATCCTCTTTGCCAAGCCCCAGGCTTGATAAAACCAAGATCTTCATAAAATGACAAATTCTGTATTTTAGGAAAATAGCTTGACAGCCCATTTATATCTTAATTCTTATATTTCCCTACAAATTTGCATTTGCTGTTTTTTGCAGATGCTATGTTTTGCATATGCAAAGTTACCATATGCTAATTTTTGATTGAAACAAAGCTTTGACTGGACTAGACCAAATTATATTTTAGGGGAATATCAAATCCAAGCACGACAAAAGCTGAAGACAAAAAAGACTCTGAAAAGGCAGAAGAAGAGAGAAATAATCTGACAAATACTGAACAGTTTGTAATTAATATACTGATCATTCACATAATATGAGTCTCTCTTTTTTTTCCCCTACTAGGTCATGCAAACCGACAAGGAAGTTTAAGGTGATCAGATAAAACATGGAGCCCCCCCCCATAAAAAACAAAAACAAAATCAACCTCAAAAGAGGGGAAAGAAATGGAACAGCAGTATGTTTAATAGACTTGAAAGAGTACAGATTTCAGAAGGATAAAAGAGAAGAAGCACTGAGTCCAATATTCAACTAAGAAGTGACCATCCTAAATAGATACTGTGTTTCCCCGAAAATAAGAGCCTGTATTTTATTTTATTTTTTTGAACCCTGAAATAAGCGCTTGGCCTTATTGCCATGCGCTCAAAAGCCCAATTGGGCTTATTATCAGGGGATGTCTAATTTGGGGGGAAACAGGGTACATATTAGTAAAGGTGGCATAAATCCTCACAACTTGCATTTGGTATACCAGCCTGGATAACAGAATTATCATACAAATGCAAAAAAAAAATAAAAAAAAAAATA